GAGTGGTGAAGTGGTATAACATTTGTGCACCTCATAATAGACAAACCCTAGCTACAGCACTCAAATAGCCTTTTCTCAGGATTGGTCATTGCATAAGGGCTGTACCAATCCATAGCCATTTATATGTCTCAAAAACCCTCATGCATCTTGCATGTCCTCTTGGTTGTTCCTACCACACCAAGTCTCTCGTCACACACTCTCCTCAGCTGGCCAAGGATCCAGGCATGCAGATATGGAGCTGGAGCATCTGTGGCCGTACTTTTCAGCAATATCCAACATCTGTAGTGCACTTAACGATACATCTAAACAGTATGTACTGAATCCCACCTAAAACGCCATGCTGTATCCTGGAGAAGAGGCTGCTTACAGATGGGAAATAAAAACCCTAAATAGTCCTTCACATCCGGAGCATGGAAAGAGAATACAACTACATCAAGTTTGCGAACCAATTTATTGTAATAAACATCCACATAGTCCTTGCGGGACATCCTCATCAAGCTTGACACAATCTCCAAATATCCCCCTCAGTTCTTTCTTACCTAAAGTCCTTCCCTTTTCTCCTATCTCTGAAATGTTATTGCCTCTTAAATACAACAATTGCAATGAGCCTGATAACTTTCTTATTGTGTTTGGCAATGTCTCGAGATTATTACCACTGAGATCCAGTTCTCCTAGATTCTCCAGCTCTCCTATCTCAGATGGTAGTGTTGTGAGTTCATTATTATTAAGAACCAAGTATAGTAGATTCTTCAACTTTCCTATCTCAGATGGTAGTATCTTGAGTTTGTTATTTCTAAGATCCAAATACTGTAGATTCTTCAGCTCTCCTATCTCAGATGGTAATGACTTCAGCTTGTTGCAATTGAAATGTAGATACTGTAGATTTTTCAATTCTCCTATGTCGGATGGTAGTGTTTCAAGCTTGTTATAATCGAGATATAGATACTGTAGATTCTTCAACTCTCTTATTTCTGCTGGTAATGTCGTTAGCTTGTTACTACGGAAGTACAACACGTTTAGATTTTCTAATTTTCCTATTTCAGCTGGTAATAATTCAAATTCGTTACCATTGAGGTTCAAGTCTTGTAAATTCACCAGTTTTCCTATCTCGGCTGATAATGCCTTGAGCTTGTTACCACTAAGACTCAGCTCTTGTAGATTCTTTAGTTCTCCTATCTCAACTGGCAATGTCTTGAAATTGTTATCACTAAGATATAGTTTTCGTAAACTCACCAGTCTTCTTATCTCAGATGGTAATGTCTTAAGATTGTTATTATCGAGATGCAATGTCTTTAGATTCACCAGATCTCCTATCTCTGGTGGTAATGACTTTAGGTTGTTATTCCAGAGATATAGTTTCTTTAGTTTCACTAGTCTCTTAATATTACTGTCAATAGATGTAATGCCTTGGAAAGGTATAGATACTTTAGTTTCATTCTCAGGATACCTTTCAAAGCTATAGTGTGAGGAATGCACTGTCTGTGGCCTATTCACAGAGCCTCCAATAGCTACTTGATGATCGTCTGAAGCTGTATCTTTATCACTGTCTGAGCTGTGGAGTGTAGCTTCCATGAATACAACTAAACTACAAATTGCCTTGTATGTCTTTCTCATCTGTGCAATATTCATTAAGATGTATGGATTAAAAATTTTTAAATAGTCAAATTTGACAGAAAAATCAGTTATAATCTTACAAACGAGACGATAATTGCTGTCAACACACAACATTAACTGTGCTGGCAAATCCTTGTAAGTAAATTATATCATTCAAAGACTGGGATTGAAAATAATATATTGACAGGTGTCAAATATGTTATGCCAATCCCTTCTTTGTGCAATCACTCCAGATTCTATTAAATGTGAATCTTTGAATAAGTTGGCACTGGAATAGTCTATGAAGCACAGCTCATTGCCAAAACTACAATCTCGACTTGTGACCAACTTAGCATCAAACTGCTATTCTAGCATTGATATGATAGCTAGATCAACCTTTCAAAAATTAACAGCTAATCAAATATTCCTCATTTGTCCTAGCCCATTAGCAAATGGTATATAAATATAATGCTCATATTCATGGTCTCTTTTGCTTTATTTTTATAACATTTCTCCCCTGACATTTTGCAATCTTTATCTTTGAGAGTCGCTCATTGTCATTCTTAAACTCAAACCACTTCCTTTCGGTATATTGATAGTTAATTACATCACGCATACGCTCGAATGAACAACATATGATTAAAATAGAACACGAGTGTATTGTTTATACATTGCTAGCCCATATGCACTATGTCATTACATTATCCACGTACTATTTATATTAATAACTAGATTATGCATGTCCTAGTTGAGAGAACTGCCACTGCTGATAATACACAGAATAATTGTGCATTGCTACACAAGTCTGCTCATACAATACAGTACCTTTACAAATAAAACTGCTTTTCCTTACTAAAACATGGTTATAGCCCACTCCTATCAATGATGCGCAATTTGCATACTTTCCAGGAATATAACGTCTACAACCTATCCAAGAAGAGTGTGCATGGCATTCAGTACAAGAATATACAAGACTGCAAATGCGGGATTCTTATGCATTTTGCATTGTTACAGCAAGGATTTTTTGGATCATTTTTGATCTCATATGTGGATTGAAGTAATGCTTCGTCCAAAATTATCCTGGCGTAAATTATAGTACTTAGATACCATCAAAAAAATTTTTTAACTGATTGATCTGATCTAAAATTTTTGACCCCAGCATGACTTCTAATCAAAGCGATGCCGCTACAACTGCTTCAAGCCAAAATCTCACGTCTGGACAATCGATCGGAAATGAGTTCAGTGTAGATTTTTCCGTTCTCGACTGTGATCCGAATTGTAGAGTCCAAAATGCCATTGAAAAATTCTTTACGGTCAGCTGTGAGTGGGGAATCGCTGCAATTTGGTTCTTCCTCATGTTCATGGTAATCTTTGCTATTCTCCAACTAATTTGCACGATTATTGCGTATGTGAGAAAGAGAACCACTCTGCTTGCACCAGTTGGTAGTAAAAACACTATGCAGTCGAGTATATTTGTCTATGCACTCAACGCAGTAATGATTGGGGCAAGCTGTGCAGCTGTTATTCTGTACTGGAAGAAAAACTATTTAATATATGACTATGCACCCTTTTTATATGCTGGAGCAGGCTATAGTTTAATATTGCTTATATCAACGCTGACTACAATGGTGTACTACATGTGTTGCGACTACATGTATCCCGAGCGGTATAATAGCACACCAAATCCTAAGCCAGGATTTATCTCAATTCTATGGATAATATCTATAGCTTTTGAAGCTCTAGTCTGTGGTAGCTACATTAGCATTTTCAAGCAATCAGCCGTTGTCTATGATTCAGATAAGATCCTCTACTTCTTTGTTGAGTTGTTAGCTAGGACATTCTTTATTGTAATGTCATACTTATATACTTCCATTGCTGTTAAAGCTATTGAAAAGCATCACTATGAAGAAGTCAATACATCTGATAATTAAAATCTATTGGCTCGTGGTCTAATTTCTATATACAGTGCTTAAGAAATTTGAAAAATCACGTTATTATTGTATAGCTATTTGATAGTGACACCATTTTCATTTTACTCTTTTTATCTTGACAGCTATTTAAATCCAATCAATATTAAAACATGGCTCCATGTTAAAAAGCAAATCCTCACCCTAAATAATGGCTATAAACACTGAGAAAATTTTAAGAGGAATCGACACAGAAGAGAAGATATTCAGAAACATGAAGAGAGTGAATGTTATAAAAGCAGTGGATTGTGTTGTGACACTTTCAAAGTGTGGAATGGACACACAAACAATAAAGTCTGAAATTCAGAAACTTTTAGAAGCTTACAAGATTGTTAGAGTACGCCTCAATGAAAAAAACCCGAACTTGGTAGACCTTGCCATAAGCAAAACAGTGAATGCATCCGACTACTACATGTGGACAGAAGAGCGGTATGACTATAGGGCTTTGGCCATAAGTATGCTGTGTGTTGCTGTTGTTCTTGGCTTGGTAATGTACAGAATATGGCCCCCATGGCTTAGAGTAATTGGAAAATATGTGCAGTACGTCATTCTAGGTCTTTTAATACTGCTTCTTTTTATAGCCTTTGTTCGATTGGTCGTATTTGCCATCACATATCTCATATATTCCTCTGGGCTTTGGCTCCTGCCTAACCTCTTTGCCGAATGCGGGTTCTTTGAGAGTTTTGTGCCATTGCACTCGTGGGGAGATGAAGACGTATCCCACAAGAAAGAATAGAATAAATTCTGCTTAATCGTACCGAGTCTTAACTTGGATATCTCCACAATACAGTATTAAACTAATTTATTTACGGTGGTGGATAAAAGCAGCTAAACATTATAATGTACAATATTCCATACACTGCAAAGAAGGTACATGTAAAGTTAAACAATCTTGTTCTGTGATACTTCAAGGTGTGGTATGCACAGGACCAGTATATGAAGGGATTGTACGCTATAAATCTCATTGCAATATTCCAGTGAACAAAAAATACCAGCATTAAAACCTGGAATAGAAGAATCAGGGCTAGCTTTAGAATGCAGGACCCATTAAAATGCAGCGGTTCATAGTTCAGCACTTGATTTACAAGAAATATCGCATTTGATAAAGTAGACGGTTTATACCTGATTTTATCAGCAAATTCGCCCTTTTCATATCTTAAATTAACCTTCACATCGTAGAAATGTACAATATCATCGACAGGACCCTTTGTTGCTTTACGCTTTAAGCTTGAATTTCTATCGTTCTCCTTGTCAGAGACGGTTGTTTCCCGACAGTTTTCTACCATCCTCTTTTTACTATTCCTTTTGAACGAAAGGCTGAAGTACTGGAAGAGAAAAAAAGAGGAAATAAGAATAACAGGCAGCCCAATAAGGATATTTGGCGTGTGTCGTATCCTGATGAATCTAAGAAAGCCCTGGTCCCAGTATTTGCTTTGAATCATCGAATAGGGTATGAAGACCCGAAACGAAGCATTGTGCCTGGCTATTAGAAGCAACGAATAAAGCTGAAAAAGACCAAAAGGCAGCAAAATGATCGGGGCATAGAGAATCTTGTGGAAGAGAACGAAGAAAATGGCATTTGACCTGCAAAACGTCGAGACTGCAAAAAGCACCGATGCTCTGAAAAGCTTTCCTTTGATAGTATAAAATAGAGCAAGTAGAAAAATGAGAGTAAAGATGCTTTCTGTATAGTATGCCGAATAGATGATTGAAGCTGGATTGCATATGAAAAAGATGGTGGAAATAAGGGAGAATCTTTCGTCAAAATAAAGTAAAGAGAGCTTATAGAAAATGAGAGAAGAGAAAATAAAGGCAATATTGCTGAGAATGACTGCCGTCGTAAGGTAGTCAGAGAAGTTTAAGGTTCTAACAATCAAAGGAACAAGAGGAAAGAAAGGCAAGCTATGCTCATGTGAGTATCCATGATTAGAAATGTTAATAAAGTGAGTTGTATCCCAACTTTCAAGGTATTTGAAGGGAGATTTGATTGGAGAAAGGGAAGTGCTTAAGTCAAAGCGCTGAAAATAACAGGAGACCACTTTTCCCAGCAATAGTACAAGTATCCTTGACATAATACTCAAAATAGCAATGATCGATTCATGTGTGGTTTGTTTGTTGAGCATTTAAGGATCAGAAAAATGTATTAAAAATATTTTTTACAACAAAGAACAGTATTAGTAGAATGAATAACACTAGCATATATACCTTACTATATTGGCGTTGTTGCTGCTTCTTTGCTTGAAAATTTATAAATAGGCGTTTTGTTTCATTTGGACTTTCCAGAGCCCTTATGTTTCCTGCTTCCTTGCTTCAAAGATTTGCTAGAGGCATGCTTTTAGCTAAAGGAATGCTAATAATCAAGGGAATATTGCTAGCTGGAGAAGCGCTTGCCAGAGAGCCACTCCAACAACCACAAGCTAAGTTTATTGACATGTTTTCTTTGATTCCTCCACACGTTGGTGCAAATGGAAGAGAAGACTTCTTTGATTTCTTCAATGAATATGTTAACAAGACGCGGTCTAGAAGGGACTGCACACAGCTTGGATACAAGGCGGCAGATAGCTTTGCGGCCATAGTTTCGAAGAATAAATTCATGCCCAGAGAATACGAAATCACCTTTGATTTCAGTATAAGCAATGTCTCCAAAGGCGGAAAAGGTGCTGGATTTGGCTTCTGGATTAGTGATCAAGTAATTAACGAGCCGAGATTTTACGGCAGAAACCAGAATTTCAGTGGATTTGGTGCAGTGATCGACATTGAAAACTCGCCCTATATTAAGTTTGTCGATAGTGCAAATACCAGAAAGAGTGGGATACCGATCAAATACTCAGCAGAGGATTCCTATAAACTAGTATTTACGAGAAGAGCAGGTACCTTGACTATCAAGTTTCTGCACAATGCAAAAGAGCACATTCTATACACAGGAGCTGCAAAAGTACCACGCGAATCATACCTTGCCGTAACATCCTATTCAGGCGCATCTACTTGCACCTTAGTTCTCGAGCGGATTATCACCAACTCATTCCCCTCGTCTGGTAAGAAGATGCCTGCAAAGGGTGAAAGAGGCGGCAGAAGTGTGTATATCGTCATTCTAGGTGTAGCAGCAATCCTAAGTCTTGCGTACTACTTGTATCAAAAGAAGCCAAAAGAGTTTGATCTTAGAAAATAAATGCCGTTCTTAGTTTTAAGACTTATCTATTGGTATTTTATATCATCAATTGAAAGGGTGCAGCGTGGACTTCTGGATCTATATATTTTAATATATGCCCTTTGCGTCTCTTTTCTATTCTATCAACAGCTAACTTCATATTTTAGCCTGAAACATAAAAATATAAATAAATTTGTACAAATAACACCATGGCAAGCGAAGCAGACAACTCAGTTCAAAGTAAGACTAGTGAAAACACTAAGAGCAGTAAAGCTAATTTGGATAGTGGCAAGAATGGCGGGGATCGCATCTTGTTTGAGTCTTTAGTGGATAATGAAAAAGAATATCTTAAAAACAACCTTAGGTCATCACTGTTTGAGGATGAAAGAACATACAGCTATCCATGCTCCGTATTCTGCCGATGGTTGGTAAAGCAATTTGAGAGAATTCATACGCATGCACCCTCTGCTACACTACTCTACAATCTTGAATTTCTAGACAGAAAGACAAAGGCAAAAGGACTATTTGATTGCAATGGCTCAGATGAGAAAAAGGAAGCTTACCTAAGCAATATTATTAAATGCAAGGAGCAAAAGTACAAGGACGATATGGACATCCATGCCTTAGCTTCCGCATCCAAGACATATATCAAAAATCACATCAAGTTCTTCGATGCACAAATTGTTGGAAGACTAAATGAGCTGTACCAAAGTGACTCAAACCGAAATGACAGGCTGTTTTTCATGGAAAGACTCCCGTTCATTATGATGAATAGGACCGTTTTCAGACTCATCAAAGGGCTTGTCCTTAAACTCGATGCAAATAAAAAAGAAACTGGTATGAGTTTAGATAAATCAATTAAAGCGTGGAGCAACGCGATAATCCCGTGCGAAGTTCATGAAGAGAAGAGAGAAGCAGTATTAAAAGATATCCTCAATGCAGAGTTTGACTATGTTCCGCTTGGCTTTTATGATTAAATCACAACACTTTCAAGCAAGTGGTGTTTAATATTATGTTTCAATGGATAATGTACTTATAGCGTAGCAGTTCAATGTCGCAGCATAAAATACAAGCAACTCATGCATATAGTAAAAAGACACCATCGTCCGAGACGGGACTCGAACCCGCAATCTCAGCTTTAGGAGAGCTACGCCTTGCCATTAGGCCACTCGGACTGGAGTGATGTTTTTCAATTGGATGATATTCATACCGTCTACGCTTTAGTTTCTCACTCAGTGCCCCGAGAAAATGGTAGAAGACGCAGAAAAAGATTCTGTAGAAAATGACTTGATCAGCCTGGACAAGAGAATGCCTCCGTTTAGGAACAATGCTAGGTTTTTAAGCGCAGTTAAGGAATTCTTAAGCAACAAGAACATTCCCCTTCTTTGTGTCATAAACGAGCATTCGCTCATTCGGAAGGCGGCATGTGAGGTGATCAGAAAATCTGTAAACTGCTCCATAAACAGCTACGATGCCATCCTAGTTCCAAACATCACAAATCTCATTAGGAAAAATGTTTTAATTTCAATAAAATCTAGCGTGCGACGTATACGAGGGGGAGGTTGCGGATATTAAAATAGACAAGGATGAAGAAGGGACTCCACTAAAGATTGAGCTTTCGCTTAGAACTGCGAAGGCAACAAAGCAGCTGAGCTTATCTAAAAATCTCATTTCTGTTGTTTCAAATATCAATCTTGGAGATGCAGTTTATATTGAACCTAACATTGGTATAATAAAAAGACTGGGAAGGAGTGAAACCAAGGCTGACGAGTATGATCTTGAGGGTGATCGATATGTTCAGTTGTCAAAATGCGGGGTGCATACGATAAAGGAAAGGGAGATAGTGCTGTCGCTGTATGATTTTGATTACGCGTTCAACAAGTATAATGATAACATTTCAATGTTTAGTCGTAGGCATGTCGATGAGGTTGTCAACTCGTATGTACAGATGGGAATAGCGCGATTCGTTGATAGTTGTGTTCTTATTGACTCGGCACATCTGCTTTCCAAAGCAAGCTTGGCTGCTCTTGCCCAGGTTTCCAAAGCAAGTGTTTATTCAAGTTTGAAAATAGTGGCATGTGGGTCTGGTTTTAGGGATGATATACGCAAATGTATAAATGACCACTTTTTTACAGTCATGCCGAGTAGTGATGAAAACGTGACTGAGTTTATAGAGTACTTTGTGAAAAGCCCTATGAGTGCTGATATGAAGAAAACAGTTAGTGAAGTATCAAATTTCGACAATTTTGACTTTATTATGAATATTTTAAGTATTACAACAGATCCAAAAGAGTTTTCAGATGTTTACAACCTACGAGTGCATGGCTGATGCGTTTCATTAAAAGTATTCCTCTATAATTTATCACTAGACTAGACTACTGTAGGTATTGGTTGACAGCAGTGGCTAAAGCAAGACTGCGATGAAGACTGGTAGATTTTTAAAATATTTAAAGCCTGCCATTTTTATTTGTTTTTATAACGCTTTAAATTTTTGACCCATGATTCACTGTTGTAAGTGTGGGATAGAAATCGAACCAAACATGCGAAGCATCTGCTTTCGCTGTTTGAATAATGAGACAGATGTGACTAGAAGCATAAAGACCTCAATGGCCATAGAAACATGCAGAGGATGCAAGCGATATTTCTTTCCATCAAAAGGCTGGAAAGTTCTTTCTTGGGGGTCACAGGATCTTCTCATATTCCTGCTTGGACGCAATAAATCACTAAAGGGCCTGAATATTGTCGATTCCAACTTCGTCTACACCGAGGAGCATTCTATGAGAATGATCGTTGAAATAAAAGTAGCACAGGATGGCATCGAGCAAAGCTGCATGCTCAGATACAATGTAACTAATATGCAGTGCACAAACTGCATGAGAACAGAGGCAAAGCAGTATTGGAAGGCATTAGTACAGCTAAGGCAGAGACCCCATCACAAGAGAACATTTCTTTATATCGAGCAATTAATTTTGAAGCACAAAGCCCATCTCCCCGCCTCAAATATAAAAGAGCGCAAGGATGGTATTGATTTCTACTACTTGGATCGCCAGGACGCCGTTCATATGGTTGATTTTCTATCAAGCTACTGTGGGACGCGCGTAATTAATTCTTCAAGACTGATCAGCGAGGATGAGTCTAACAATACTGCAAACAAGAAATTTACCTTTTCCGTCGAAATATTGCCGTTTTGCAAGGATGATCTGGTCTATCTAGGACCTGGGAATATGCTTGGGCTAGGAAATTTCGCACTGGTTTCAAGGGTGGGATCTACCGTTACATTTTTCGATCCAGTTACACAAAAGAGTAACAAGCTTTATTCCAAGCAGTACTACTCCAACGAAGACAAGTTTAAAATTCTCATGAGATCGTGCAACTTCAAGAAGTACAGGGTTGTGTATTGCAGACCACTGGGAAATGAGCTATACGAAGCCACACTCACAGCAGACGACCTAAAATTCTTTGATGTAACAACGCATCTGAAAATAAAGGACGATGACACGGTTGCTGGATATAACCTTGAGGGGTCTAATCTAGCAACAGATATAGATCTGGGAACAGACATTCTTCTTGTTCGAGTGTTTAATAATTCAAAGAGAAACTGGACATTAAAGTCAGAAAAGGAGGTAGATGATGAATACATGTATTTTATTGATGATATTTCCAATGACAAGGAGATGCTGAATAGAGTGTGTGTATTTGACAGTAAAGACGAGCTCGTCGACAATATTGAAACATTAGGAATATGAACTTAAGTACTACCGTAGCCTCGGCATTAATAAAACATATCTATAATTTAATATATCCATTTAGCATTAGTTTTACGTTAAATGTTTATTTTCTACTGTGCATTGGCTGGCAAGCTTCTTTTTACATGGCAGATATGGCTTTGATATTAGACTCAGGCTCACGGCTCCTCGTCGTATTTGCACTCCACAAGGTGCTCAAGAGTTGAGATAAACTTCTCATCAAATACAGTTTCTCTGTAGACTTTTTCCCACAAAAAAGGATCAAAGACAAGTATGCTTCTTTTCTTATTATCTGCAATTTTTGGATCTGCAAAAAAAACAAAGGCATTCAATGTTTTGCTAAATGCAAAACCCTTAATTATAAGCTCGTTGTACGCCTTGACCTGTAATTCAGATTCTGGAAGAGCATAGAAAATAAAAAAAAGCGTTTCTTCATGGAAATTTTTGACATCCAGATTATTGAATGTGAATGCTGAGTAGCATTCTGGAAGAAGTCTTGTTACAAAGGATTTTACCTTAATGTCTTTGCAATAATCTGGATTGGAGATCTTCTTGGCTATGTTCTCTAGATCTGCAAGAGTGGGTGGTGGCTTGTTTTCAGAATCTCTCAATGCTTTTAGTTCATCTTCAATGTTTTTCATGAGGGCTCAAGGAAAAGCTCTCATGTTTACAAAATTGCATATTCCGATAAACGGTAATATTTGAGGAGCTAAACATGTAGGAAAATCACACTAACAAAATTAATTTAACGGCTGTTTATACAAAGCAAATTAAGTTGGAATAAAGTTACGGTATCATTACAATATTAAAAATTTATACTCTAATAGTCCTCGTCACTTTCATCTTTGCTGCCTTCAGCATAGCCGGTTGCATATGGAAGTCTTCTTCGCAGCTTATTATACTCTCGTGTTAGTGCCATTTTATACTTTGCACTAATACTTTGATATGAGTTGGACCCAATCAGTTCTCCAAGATTGATTGCATCTTCCTTCAAAAGATCTGTGCTTTCTAGGACCTTAATGGACTGTCCAATATTGCCCTCTTGTAGTCCATTAGTAAATCTTTTGAATATAAGCTCACCCACAAACAGTCTAAACGATTTTCTAGTCACTTTAGGTCTAAAGTGATAACATATTTCAGTTAATAACCGATTATTCTTTCCGAATTTAGAATACTGTCCTAAGTATAGTGGGAAATCGAGTCTTTTGTGCATCAGTCTGCCATGAAGAGGATAGACACAACTAAAGAATGCGTGGTAAGGCATTAAACTCCACTCTTGTTCTGTGCCATGAATTCTTGAGTCGATTATGTCAGACATGCTGATAGACTCTGCTGAGGCCAGCATCTCTTTAAGATTCCTAAATGCGCATTTTAGGTAGTTTTCCTGCACAAAAAGAGGCATAAGACTATTGTCTTCAAAGTACAAGTCTATTTTCTCTGCAATGCCTCTTTTCTGAAACAGCTCAGCTGCTATTTCAAAGGTCCCCTTTAAAATGTTCTTTTTGACTAACGTCTTATTTATAAAATCAAGATTCAAAACTGGTTTCATAACAAGGCTTTGAATCGTGTTGAGAATATACCTGATATCTCCATTTGAATTCATTATTATTTCATTGATGGCTCCCTCTGGTAGTGTTTTGCCTTCTTTTTCCAAAACGATCTTGATTCTCGGCATGATAGTCCTTGGATCCAGCTTCCTAAAACGTATATCTAAGCAATAACTAGATAGCGTTCGCATCTTTTGATGAGTTTTGTCATTGCAAATGCAGATAACAGGGACCTTTGTCTTCTTAATAATACTTACCAGCTCAGGAATGCCTCCCTTATCACTAGTCATGCCATCCACCTCGTCCATTACTATCACACTTTTACTGACAGACCAATCCTTGCTAATTGACAGATTACTAGTGCAGTTTGATATGGTCTCGGCAAGCATCTTTTTACTTCTCAAATCACTTGCGTTGAATTCAATGGGTGTTATTCCTTGTTCTCTACATACTGCAAGGACTGCAGTGGTCTTACCCACTCCAGGGGGACCGCTGAGTAGTGCTGCTTTATACTCAGTGCCGTTTTGGATAAATAATCGAAGCTGCTCAATTGCTGTCTTATTGCCAACAATCTCTTCAACTGTTGCAGGCCTGTACTTCTCTGCCCAGGATCTATGGTTAGTCTTTACATCTAGTTTTGTATTCATTGGTGATGAGACTGATGTCTGCATGGCCTTGGCCATTTTGAAGGAATATTTGTCTAACAGCTCCAAAAATTTCTCCTCGCTTAATATTTTCGTTCCGAGCTCTTTTGCTTTTTCGATCTTCGAGGGCCCTGGCTCAGACCCAGTAATAAGATATGTGGTCTTGGACGACACAGATGTTGTGACCCTTGCACCGAGAAGAAGGACTCGGCTCTTTGCCTCTTCTCTGTCCATGGACATTTCTCCTGTGAAAACAAAGACATTGCCTTTCAGTGGTTCGTTAGACATGGGTCATACAAGGAAACTTAGAGAAATCAGCAAATTAGTGTGATGCAAATCAAATACAGCATCTACATATCCGATAATATGTACTGGCCTGTGTGTATTTTTAGCATTGCAAAAAATTTAAATATCGATGCCTATTAGTTTATTAAATTTATAACAATTATTTTAAAGTTATTCTGTGTCATACATGCTTGAACATCAGTTCTAGATTAATATCACAATACTAAGCTTCAATATGACGCTTTTGTGTTAATATCAGCTCGGAATCAAAGCATAGCACCACCTTGTTACAAGCTTTTACTCAGCCATGGCTGCACATTATTAAACTATGAAAATTCTAGCTAGTTCATCTATTCTACATATTTGATTCCTTAAAACTTTGTAAATTTACTTTTTTCACACAAAGGAGCAGGAGTAAGGGGCAAGATTTCAAAATTCCAAAAACGATTTGCCCATTCCAACGTAAATGTTTTAAGTTTACAAATAACGCATAGTGCTCATTACATTCATACATCTTTATTTACCATCGTACTTGCCCGTTTAAAACATTTTCAAATATCCTTATGAATTTTTGAGTGCTATATTACCAGTGGTTTGAACTCTCCTTATTTCTGATTGGTTAATTTATCTATTTAAATTAAAACGAGGACAATGGGCCATGATACCCTTGAGCGATAAGGACATCATTTCTCCCTATAATGAGGATGGCAATCTAAACAAACAAGGTGAGGAACTTTTTAATGAAGGAGTCAAGGTTTTGACAGGTGGTAGAAAACTCGGCGTAGTAATCCTCAGTGGAGGCGAGGGAACACGTCTTGGACTGACATACCCAAAGGGGCTCTTTCAAATAGAGGGAGCTACTCTCTTCGAATGGCACCTCAAAAGACTACAGTGTCTTTATGAAAAGTACAAATGTGAACTCTACTTGTTCATAATGACTAGTGACTCAACCGACAAGCAAGTGAAGGAGTTCTTTGCGAACAAGAATTACACATTTATAAAGGGAATAGAGATATTCAAGCAAAGCGGCATTGAGGCACTGGATATGAAGACACGCCAGAGCTTATGTAGAGACGGAAAGGTGATAATGAATCCTGTTGGCAATGGTGACTTTTTTGATGCAATTAAGAAGGCCCAGCTGAGAACTAAGGTAGAAGCATTCAACGTTATTTCTGTGGACAATGTTCTGGCAAATATCCTTGATGAGGTCTATGTTGGTGCATTTTACAAGTACAACTTCGAGACACTCTCAAAGGCTGTTAAAGCAATGCCAAACGAAAGTGTCGGTGCATTCTTTAGGGATGGTGAGCATATTAAAATAGAAGAGTACAGCGAGGCCAAAGCTAGGAATGGAAATAACGTCTACGGTAATATTTGCAACCACCTTTTCACGAGGGCATTCGTAGAAAGAGTTTCTGAACAGAAGCTACCTCTTCATGAGGCATTTAAAAAAATACCATTCACCAACGAGAAGGGCATGTTGGTCAAGCCAGCCTCTCCCAATGGAATTAAGAGGGAAAAGTTCATATTTGACTCCTTTGAATTTACAACGAAGAACGGCGTTTTGAGCGTACCTAGAAATCATGAATTTTCCCCACTCAAAAATTCCGCAGAAAGCCCTGCAGACAATCCTGTAACCTGTGCGGCAGCCATTAAAAACTATAGACTTAAATCAAACTATAAACTCAAATCAAAATCAAAAGTAGCAACCGCTAAGGTTTAATAAAGCTATTTAAGACAGCACAGTAGTATATTTTGTGTTTACAATTACACTGCATTGGTTTCATTAATGTATTGCCATGAGTAATGTTTATTTACAGATATATCGGTTTGCGCTTCATTATGTGCTTTTGCCACTCCAGAGAAACTGCCAGCTTCTTGTATCTGTACATGTGATAAAACAGTACCAAATCGACTAGCAGCTTAAACAGAAAGTCGCATGCAGTCAGCACAAAGTTGCATGTGTTAAACGGCTGCCTTACATAGCTAACGGCAAAAATAAACGAAACCACGGAAAATATTACATCTAACCACATGGCTATCAATACATACTTTTTAAATGTTTTTTCCTGAAATTTAAAGTCAATCTGTATCATGATTAGCGACAAGCTTGACAATACAAACTCAATAATCGTAAATAAAGAAATATAAATCGTGATTCCAAAAATATTACCTACTGCATGCGCACCTGAGATCAGAAAATCAACAACAGAAAGATAGTCTATGATCTGTTTACACTTGTAGAATTCCATAAATCTTGGACTATAGCATGTTTTTTTAAACTTTTGAATCACTATATCAGCTCTGTTAATGATAAGATAGGATATACAAACTACAAGCTCTGTAATACATAATAACATAAATACAATCTCCAGAATCATTGAACTACGGTTCTTCGCCAGTCCAGTCACCATCGCATGCATCAGAATGGTCAATGAATCATTATGCAAAATTAGACAGACGGAAACAAAATACCCGTAGATATTTGCAGTAATAAGAGACTTCAAAGTTAGATATATTCGAATGTACCTGAGTATCCCAAGATGCCAAAAGTATCTTTTAATATCCTTATTACCTACACTAATCCCCGGCTGTCTGTAGGGAAGATTAAATATCAGTATAATGCTGAGGAGAAGCTGCGATGCAAAGAATAGTATGTGGAGAAAGCAAAGATTCTTTCGGGTTACATTTATTAAATAGACTCGGCTTGTTAATGGCGGCATTGACCCCAATGTATTTCAATTGAATTTATACTCTGCTGTCAAAATATATTAAAGTCAATTGACATTTTGCTTGCAATCAATTATATTAACACCCTAGTATAGTCAACACGTACTTCTGCAAAAATATAATGAATGCTATTTACATAAGCATCAATTTTTCTACGATTGATTGATGTTTGGAAAATACTCATTTGATTAATTTATGATATAAATTGACATTTTGATTGACATGCAACCTATTGATCAAACTAAAAAAATACGTCAATAATATTTTGTGATTTCACATGTGTTAAGTTAAGTTGCTTTTCGGACTAAACGGACGAAATATCTTTAAAAATTAAACTCGAGTATGCTTTACGTCTAATTTACATCAATTGCCAACTATATACTATTTTGGTGGTATAGCTCTGGGACTTACCTTTTACTTCATTACCCTAGCTATCATGCCCATGGATAATCACTTCCTTTCCTCAGAAAAGTTACAGAAAATCACGGGGAAAAAGGCAGAACACGATGTTGTCAAAGGCATACAGAGCTACGCTGAGAAAATCATAACAGATATTATAAACAGATCTGCCCTCCTTTCGAGGCATTACGAGAAGGATGTTATCGATGCATCAGAAATCTCAGTTGTGGCCGAAAAGGACTTTGGCTGTTCGTTTGGGCTGCGAAGTATTCTCCAAGAGGCGAATGCACCAACAAACGAGCACGTTGAAAAAATAGCAGAAATAAGTAGACAGAGGTACTAGGGTAGTCTTTTGATGAACTCACCTATTATATTTGGCACTATCTACAGCATGAAAGTATTGGCCATGCGGCATTTTGTTTTAACTGCAGCCAGCGTTTTGTACTTCAATGTTCTATTGTTAAATTTTGTTTTTAGAACTGTTTTCTTCGTTTTATTTTTACAGACCAATAGCCTGCCCACTCACAGTGCATGCCATTTAATGCAGAACAACATTTCGAGTCAAAAATTAAGCAAGGGTCCATTAAAAACCAAAGCACAATTCTCCGTTTTGACACGCAGCCATTTAAGAGCAAAAAAGCAGAACGCGAAAAGGGCCTTAGAAGGATATGCAAGGATAGATTCAATTTTGAAGACTTCGTCAAGATCAACAAGATGCATAGCAGCTATGTTCAGGAATTGAAGGGAAATCTTTCTCCAAAGGCCTTTTTGGATGTTCTTTACAGGGCTGAGTTGACCGGTGCTAAGGTCAAAATTGCAGGTAAAGAGGGAATAATCGTTGAAGAAAGAAAAAATTCATTATGTGTAATTTTCAGTTCAAATCAGATGAAGCTTTATCCAAAAAGAAGCTGGGATTTTTCTTTAGTTTTTGATGGGATTGAGTACCAGTTTTTATCTGAAAATTTGAAGACCAATAGAAAAATCAATAACTAAGCAACGATTTAGTATGTTAGACGGCAGTCGCATTGAATATCTCCGATATGTGTCTGACATGTTACAACCTATCGCATTTATGATGTATATTTGTGAAAACATAAAAGACTTTCGGACAGCATCAGCATACATTTGTTAAGCCATTCAAGTGCAAATTTGCATATCTATACGATTTACAAATTTATTAAACAACTCTCCTCGATGCTTTTATTTTTATTATTTTTTGTAACTTCTTATTTTTTCATTTGAAACACCCCACGCATGCAAGGAGAATTCCAAGAACAGCAATCAACCATCTATGGCTTTATCCGCAACTCATATGCCCAAAGAAAACCACCATCTGAATTTTTCAGACTTGGATCTTTCACTCTGCCGTTCTCTGTGGATGAAGCCTTTGCTAGATCCAAAACCAACATTCCCAAGTTTCTCTTTTACTATCTGTGTATTGCTTTTATTGCTCTGGTATTTGTGGTTCTGACTAGGTTTGTCATTGTAATTCCTCTTTCTGTTTGTGCTGGTGCTTTCTATCTCTCTGTTAGCAGCCACACCATTTCCGGAGTAGAAATTACACCTCGCTACACCCTTTATGGCTGCATTGGCATTCTCATCTTCTTAGCCCTCATCTCGTCTAGCATTGTATCTAGTTATCTTGTTTTGATAGCATTTCTTTCAATCGCTTTGGCTGTGGTTCTTGCGCATGCATGTCTTCTCGACACCAGCACTTTAGGTCGTCAAAATGAAGAAAATATTTGAAAATTAACCAACCAAATACTTTTCTTGTTCATCAAGTTGTTCTACTCTACAGGTATGACCAAATGCAATAGAAATAACATCAAATAAATCCCACCAACAAATCACTTTAATATTGCTATCATTATGGATGTATAACAGTCTTTAATGAATTTTTATTCCTGTACTAATCAGAGATCTTGCTAGTAGTTATCCGCATTCTGCGCTTGAGCGTATCTATATAGGGCAGAAAGTGGTATTCTGGTGCTTATTTTACGACATATTCGTTTTTTATGGAAGTCCCGCTCGAGTATATTTTAAACAGTGTTGTGAACCGTATAATGGTAATGCCCTGGTCAACGATTCCCACGGCCAAGGACACAAAAACACAGACTATTACATCATTAATCAGACATACCAGATACTCTGAGATTTTCGAAGTTTTGTTGATACTTTTGATGCTGAACAGGGCATAGAATAGCTCCACAAGTTGATTGTCGAGGAAGAGAACCACAAGCAGGGCATACACCAGATACGATCCAAAGAATACCTGGGCAAGATAGTAATAGCTCTTATTGAATGTTAGATTCCTATCAACGTTTTCATATTTAATTTTTTCGATTTCAATACTATATATCGAATCCAGGAAAAACACGGGTGTAAGGATGAAGTGGAGAACGTACTTGTGCCACTCATTGTAGTTTTCTAGATTTTTTGTAGAATAGTACGACAAAAATACATAATCATTAAGGACGTTTATAACGTAGATTATTGACATTGTTAAATATCCAAAAACCAGATGTCTCATAACAACCTTGGATACAAATTGGGAATTGCTCATCTTATTGGAATAGACGTTGCCAAACAGCATTATCATTACTACAACTGGAAGTATCATTGAGATTACATACAGCATGAAAAACGACTGATCATAATTTAGCAGATTGAATGAAAACATTTGTACAGCCTTTTTAAAGTTCTGCTTAGTATGCGTATAGTAAGTAGTACGAATCACAAGAACTAGTCCAGTGTTTAGCAGTGAAATGGAAAACGCTTTTTTGGTCTCCATCAATTAAAGGGTCATTATCAGACAAAACTGAAAACACAAAGAAGAAAAGTTTTAAAAAGTGTAGTTTAATTTGAGAATAACTAGAATTATTGAACCAATGTATTGATTTTCCAGCTGGCAGAGAATGCTCCAGACACCCCATATTACCCCTTTTCGCAACACACAGCACTCCGTAGTGTAAATGACATCGAAACATGTGACGTATATATGAGAGCTATACTTTACTGAGAATAAATTTATTATTAACTTTTTTGAATATCAAAATGCAATTTGAAAATATAATCAACATAATCCAATTGGTTGTTAATCTTATCTTCAACCATATTCAACAAAAACTCTCCCTCAGAAACACTCTCACCCGCCAGGCAAATAACAACCCTCATTTCATAGTTGTAATGAAGCTGAATCTGCTCGATAATTCTATTTAAGATCAAACACTCCTCCTCATTGTCTTCCTTTACAACCAGAACGCCATCACACTCCTCAAATAGTTTCCATACCAGTGCCCTATCCACTCCTTTAGGAATGTAAATGAAGATCTTCTGTGAGTTCTCAAGGATGTAAATGTCATTTTCAGAAATATTATTAACAGTCAGTCGTAGGCTCTTTGTCTGCTCCAGATTTTGAAAAACAGTATATTCAGTCAGAGAGAACATTCTGGGATAGAAATGCCTAAGATTTTGCTCTATTGTAGCATTTATCAGTCTTGTTTTTTCTAAATCAGTTTTCTTCAAGTATGACTGTATAAGAACGGGCAAACATTTGATACTGTCGGGCAGAACGAACTGCGAGGAGGATGTGGTGGACGAACACTTGTTTCTGTAGTACACCAGTGAATCAGTGATCAATTTTTCCAATTTAACATCTTCTGAAATATTTAATTTCACTAGAGAGGCAAAAAGTGTATCGAAGGACATCGAAGAAAACACATGAGCAGGTGTTCCTGCGGGAAATGAATGATTGAAAACTCTCATTCTTCTTGATCCATCAAAATCAGTAAATGATACTTGCAGTTGAATGTATTTTGTCAGTTTTGAAGGTCCGTTAAGGCCTAGATTAAATAGCACAGATGTGCTGGAATCCATATGGTTAAGGTGTGAGGTGGCAAGTCCGTCGTCAAGAGTTGATCCAACAAATGAGGTCTTTGTTAAGTTATCAGAGACCTTCAGAACAAGCTTTACATCAAATACTGATCTACTCAAGCAGAGATTTTTCAGATCTTTTTTAGCAAATGGAATATCCTGGTGGATGTATTTATAAACCTTTCCTGAGGAGTAGAACGACAATTTTTCTAATGTTATGTGCTGCTTAGCCATCTTGTTTATATCGGCATACAGGCAAAATAAGTTTACAGAACAGTTTTTTCTGTCTGACAGAATCAGCTCATAGTTAAGTTCTGCAGGACACGAGGACACCAAGGCCACTTTGCATCCACTTGTAAATGAGGAAATGTGCTTGATTGTGCTTATAATTGTGTTGGCCTCTGGCACAGCTCTTTCATTTATTTTTCTAACTTCTTGCAAAATCTTAATTATCACATCTAAATCTTTTGTGGGCACTGTGCATTTCTGTGAAATGAAAGGTAGATCTGCTGGCATTCTGTATTTTACAGGCTTTCCTAGGTTGGCTCCAAAGGTGGTTATTCCGTTGTTAATGACAAAGAATCCAATATTCTGGTATAGTATCTGAAAATTTTCATTTTGGACAATTTCAACAATTGAGTCTAAAATAGCTTCCACAAGTGGCAAAGAGCACATATCAAACATGAAAACAAACACTGGATCAATCAATTTCCTTATAACAGGATAGTCAAGACCTATGGGTTGCCCTTCCTGGTTTGCGACATGTGGGGGTTTTCTCTCTACAAAAGATGAGATGATGTACTCAAATGAGCTCAGCTTGAGATTTTCTGGGTAGTTTGTGTGTGAGTCGTTCTTCCTTTCGCAGATGTTACAAATGAAGGCTGTGTTGTCTCTGCGAGTAAAGCAGTTAAAATATGACCTACAACCAGTGCAAATATCAGAACCACTGGTAAAATTCAAGCAGCCTTTCTCATTAAATGGATTGGCAATAATAGAGAAAGGCATAGCACAAGATTCAAGTGTGAATTCTGAGGATGGCGAAGTGTACATAGTGGATCTTAGATAGCTTGGGTCGCTGTTGTTCTTTTCTGAAACAAGTCTATCGGTGGTCGAGAGAAATGGAGGAGGGTTGGAGGTAGAATATGTGGTGTTTTGGGTCTGGTCCTTATAAATCTCAATAGGTAAATCAGGGACTCGTATTGACTTTTTGTTTTGGACAGGGTTCTGCTGCATTTAGGGATTGACAAACTTTGAAGAAGGATAGGCAGTGAAAAACGAAAGAATATGTTTAAAGTGAATTTGATGCACAACGCCTAATTTTCAGATCACCATCTACTTGAGATACCAACAAAAACTTATGAGCTATAATTGCAAAGAAGATAGGCTAGCACACAAACAAAGCATTAATCTTTTAAATAAAGCTGTGTTTAATTTGGATTTTTTAATATCCAAAGTACCGTTCCTTTTGGGCTGTTTTTACCATAAAATTTTGTAAAACATCTCCAATCTCAGACAACTACTCCTATCAATACTGTACTTTCACAACAGAACCATTGTGGCGGTCCTGAGACTCTGGTGTATCCGGGCAGCATGGAGTCGGAGCTGTTCCCGTATTCTAATAGTATCGACATACTATGTGGAAATGCCAGTTTGATTTCAGATCTAGGCGAAGACTGTAGAAGAAAGCAATCTCCAGAGCTTTATCAGTGCATTTACTTTTTGCACTAGGTCCCAATGTTCATCTTCATATATTCTCACCCTCTATTTAAGTTTGGGCAAGGTTTGAGTAATTGCGATTCTATCTTAGTCTTAAATTTACTGTTATGGCCAGAAAATGACAGGTTCAAGTAATGCTTGTTAGCCAAGACCTATTTGGTAACGCCCGAAGCAGAGTTTTGAGTATAAACCGCATTTATATCCCAAAACGGTCTATTATAGCCACAGAACCGTTAGTTACCTAGCTTTGATTTAGACAAAGGATTTATAAAAGTATTGAACCAAATAACAGCAGATGTCTCGCAAAATACACGAGCCAGTCTTGATCTGAATGAACAAATTTGCAAGCAACCGACTCAAAAATGAGGGCTTAAAGAAGGTGAAGGTTAAACTGAGAAGGTAGCAGCTCGGCCAAATATATTTATCCAGAGCACAAACCACTTCAAAACTTTACTCAACACAAAGCTTATTGGGCTAACTTAAAGAAATATTTATTCAGCTTGTCCAATTAAGTCTGCCTCTCCTTGATCTAGAATTGAAATAACAGACGTTCTGAATTTTAATCCAGCAAGGACAGAAAGCTCATTGTTGCTTCCTTCATAGAACTTCATTGGCGTATTGTTGGACAAGACACAGTAGTACTCTAGGAGTCTTCTCATATCTTCTGGTATGTTTGCCGCCACAATAACACACTGTGCTTTGTTCTTTATGATATTTAGAAGAGTTCTTTTAAAGCCTGCGGCAAACTTTCCAGTGCGCATTGCCAAGGGCAGCTGAGTGCTGATTCCTGTCTGCTTGGTTATTTTCTTGGCCATTGAGGGTCGTAAAATTTTTACAAGAACAAAAATTCAAACCAGTACTAAAAACAAGACCGAATAGAGGAAATGGCTGGAATCGGCATTGCTGATGGGAAAATAAAGCATTTGAACATCATAATCCATCAATGAAATAAATGGGAAGAAGCCACAGGCTAAACTTCCGTATTAAAAACTGCAATATTGAAAATTTAAAGATAGATTTACTCTTTTTTCTTCATCGCTTGATCAATAAACTCAAGTCTCTCAAACACATGAGGATGAGAATAGCCAACAGCCGAGTACAGCCAATCGACTACCGGCATGGCCATGTTCTCCGTATGCAATTTGAGTAGCGCTGCTTTTAGCTCATTGCCATAGCCTTGGTCCACTGCAAATCGATCTGCCTGCTTCTCAAACATCCTATTAATAGAGTGAGTAAGTAGCATCAATGGTACAGACACAGACGACGCTGCAAAAATGAACTTCAATAAAGAAATGGCGATGGTCTGGCTGCTCTTTTCAGCTACGAACATTTTAAAAGCAAAAATGTATCCAAATGTCTCAGCCCATCCAACAATCAGAAGCTGAATTATGTGGCTGTAGTGCCAATGACCCAGCTCATGTGCTAATACCGCGATAGTCTCACTCTCATTCAGTTGCTCAAGAATTGTATTGTAGAACACTATTTTCTTTGTTCTTCCAAACCCTACAAAGTATGCATTTGAATGGCCTGATCGCTTTGATCCATCCATAACCTCAATTTTGCCTACTTTAAACCCAACCTTTGCAGCAAGCTCCTCAACGTTCTTCTTAAGAGATTGGTCTTCAAGTGGTGTGAACTTGTTATAAAGTGGAGCTATCACAACAGGATAGATCCACATCATAAACAGCTGGAAAACAACAATAAATCCGCCAAGGAATATTTCGAAATTAGAGAATTTCGAAATAATGTGAAAAGAAGTGAAAAGAAAAGGCCACCCAATGCACAATGTTAATAAAAACATAATAAAAATATCCGTAACAAATACCTTTAAAGTTTTCTTGTTGAATCCGTATCTCCTCTCAATGACGAAGTCGGAGAAGGCTGAAAACGGAATCTTGAATATTTGATTGGTAATCAAGTACGAAAAGACGAAAGGAACAGCCGGATTTGTAAAACGTCTTGCAAAGAACAGATGCCAGGGCTCGAGATATAAGAGATGGAGTATGTCCTTACATGAATCCACTATTTCTGAAAGCGTATGGAATATAAGCTTTTCCTTACTGTACTGAACACTTCTGGACCACGTTTCCTGTGTGTATATTTTAATTGCAGTCTCAGGCATCTTTTCTCCGAGCTTTTGGTACTGTCTACAGTTGATGTAGGTCGAAAACAGTGAATTTGCAGCAATGATTGCGGACAAGACGACGAATGACATATTTGTTTGGGCAAATTTTTTAAAAAAACCAAGCCAGAACATGCATCGGCAAAAAGCACGATGGCCGACGATAGCTGATATTTATTATGTTAGTACAGGCAGCGGCGTTCCTGGCATGGCAGTTGAATTGCGATACCCACTTCTGTGCTTAGTTCATTGTAGTAATCGACATAAAACTCAAAAGATTACATTCCTATGTATCCATTGATTAATAAAGACACATGTTCGATTTTATATAGATTCTTAAACCCAATTTTAGCCATCTTAATTTAATGATATCTCACAAGAGCCAGCTTCCTAGAGGGTATTTTATAGCAGCTTGGCTCATAACTACTCATGTGTATTTATACTGTCCACTCAGAATATAAACGCATCAAAAGAAAGTGTTTTACTGTGTTTCTTTGCATCCTCCTTTGACTGTTCCCGGATCTCGCGCAGAACTCCAAGATCCTCAATCACTCTCAACGGTCTATTTGATTTAAAGTTGAAAAAACTCCTTTCCTCATTTGTATCACAGTGAATTTCTGACTTTTTATCAGTCGATATAATCATAAATGGAAGATACAATCGTTCACTGTGCGTATTTGAAAGAAGCTCATTCCGAGTGGTGATGTACTGGAATGTCTCTTTCATGTCTATAAGCTTCTTTTTTTCGTTAATCTTACGCTTTATATTGTCTGTGTTGTCAACCAGATAGTAGACTTTATTCTTCTTTCCAACAACATTTACCGCCCGCATCACATTCAGAACATCGTAGATCCTTCTATTAGCTGTTTCACTATTCTGGGTAGATATGGACGAGCATATAAACTGGTATGTGCATTCTTTGTTCTCCTTTAGAATTGCAAAAACCGATTGCGTTATAAACTTCATTCCCTCTTTTTTTGCCTCCGAAGTCAGGAGTTCTGAACTCAAATCCATATGGGTGTGCAAAGGTGAAAATAAATGGATTATTAATGCAGATGAGATAGCCATCATAAATGTAGAAAATAAAAATATTACTGGCAAAGAACAAAAGAACATAGATTGAGACGTGAAAACTGCTAAATGCAAGCACAGACTTCTTTAATAAACTGTCTAGTATTAATGCTACAGATTTGTATTCTGGCAACTATCTCAGGCTTATCAATAAGATGAGCATACCTGTTCATAATAATTAAACTACGATAAGTGATAATTATTGAACTGATTGGTGAATGTTACTGGAATTTCGAGCATAAACATCGAAGAAATCCGAATCTACGCCTTCCAATTATTATTTAAACGCACACACGATTGCGTACTGCTTTTTATGATGCTAGCTTTTCTTTTCAAATCGGCTCAGGGCTGTTCTTGACTCACCGTCCGTCTCATAATATCTTTTTGTTTCCTCAATCTTCCTTGCTGGCTTCTCAACCTGGTTCAAAACAGATTTAAGAGCAATCATGTCTGCAGGTATTTTCTCCAATAGTTTCTTAACCTCCAAATTATTTCTTCCCTTAGCGCTCATAAATGGCGAAACTTCAGTGGTGTCGTATACTGGATCGCCCGAGCCCGGCACAACAATTGAGCAAAATCCATTTGAGTGTCCGATAGTTAGAATGTCCTCGTGACTGCAAAACTCAAGTGACGATACAATTCCTGATGTTTTGTACTTCATCACACAGGATTCTTTATTATGAAAATCTTTTAATACTGCAATTTTGTCGGAGAATCCAAATGCAAGAAGATTTCTTTGACTTAGAGCGCTAAAATGGACACTGGTCTTTGTGCCGATAGATTTCATGGGCCTATACGTGTTTCTAATATCGAACACGGCGATTCTATTATCATTTCCTGTTGTTATCATGTGAACTCCTGATCTATCCAGCTCGACATTGGTGACCGTTGATTTGTGACATTTAATCTTCATTAGAAACGACTTCTGCGAAGGAGACCAGAGAGATACTTGCCCATTTTTAGACCCAAGATGGACAACACCATTTGTTGGGCTAGCTTTGATGCAACTAGGATTCTTGTCTGAAATAAATAGGGAAGAAACTATTTCTCCAGTGCTTGTGTCCAAATAGTTCATAAACCCACTTGTGGTTGTGCCAGCAAGGAGGAAATGATAGGGCAGGAATTCAATCATTCGTGTGCTTTTCATATCCCTCACCGCATGTAACTCTCTTCCCATTTTGTCATAAACAAACACACAGTCTTCCTGTGCCGTGGCAAAGTACTGTTCGTTGTGCAGCCATTTGGTATCGTAGATACTATCTTCAATGTTAGATTCAAAGCATAGTTGTAGATTTTGAGTGTTAAATCCAGAAATATATCCATTTTTATTATTCACAAGCATGTGGCTTCCATTATGTGTGTATGTACATTTATATGGGCCATTTTCAAGAGAGATGTTTATTGCTTTCTCTTTAGTGTATAAGTTTACGTTATTTTGGATATATTGCTGAGTTTGCACGAACACTTGTTGCTCAGGAAGTGCTGGTCGCAGTATATCCAATGTCTTGAGATCGCTCACGTTGTCCTCTACAGCTTTGTGAAAGTCTTTTATATTTTGCTTAACTTCTTTCTTGTGCATTTGGGTGTTAAAATTTTCCATAAAAATCAGCTTATTGGCAATTGTTATCGAAGCCAAAAGGATGTAAGCAGCATTCATATTGTACAATCTCGTATTCATGTGCACTTAGATAAAGCACATGTTATTACTGCAAGCCTGTGTTTCTCTGCTCCCATTTAATTATTCGCTGGCCAGACTCATACATTAGTGTTCCATAAGTAAATCTACACACACCAAACACGCTCTGTCCAGCATTACAATCTATTTTTATATCGCTCTTGTAAGCATTATTTAGAAAAAATATTTACGTACCCTTCAAATGTGCTTGTCTCTACTTTTCCTTTTGGCTTCCGCATCAAAACTGGAAAAGTGTATCTTTGATGATTGCAACATTCAAAAGGCTCTAGAAATGGACATAGAGGAGCCAATAGACTATGCTCTTAAATATTTTATTCTCAAAAGATTCAAGAAAGATACAGAAAAGGCCGTCCTTACCCTTCTGGATGCACCGGAAGACAACCTCTACTGCAATATGATTCTGGTACGTTCTGGGGATATTGACAACCACTTGGAAATTCCATTATCCTCCAAGAATCATATCCTAAAGGAGCTCGGCGCCAGCGTTGCAGATCTCTTCTTTAAAAACAAATACAACTTTCGAGACCTTATAGTTTTGGAAAAGGCAATTCCGCCCAGAGAAATTAATGATGTTATCAAAAATGTTTGGACCTGTGATCCCTGGGTCGTATCGAAGTTCTTTATTTTTATTGAAACAAGAGATATTAAGCTTGAAAATGTTGTTAATGAAGTAATGTATCTTGCAAAGAAGGGCGACAAGCAGGCCAATTATTTAATGGGTGTTATGCATCTCCATGGAATTGGCATTGAGAAAGACCTGGATAAAGCGCTGGAATACTTCTGGTTTAGTGAATCAGAGGAGGCCCCGCAGTCTTACATTGGTGTTGCAAGGGTGTACATGGATGAAGAACGCCTCAACGAGCCAAATGCAATAAACAACCTGCGCATTGCATTGAGAAATAGTCCAAACTCTGAGGCTTCATATTGCCTTCATCTCCTTACAGAAGCCAGCTCACAAAAGGAGCAGAAAGGCTTAGAATATTTGAAAGCAGCGGCATATTCCGGATATCTACCCGCAGTATACAAGTTTGGTGTTTACCTTTCCAAAAACAATACATTAGAGGCCTCAAACACATCTCTAAACAGTGTAATGGTGTTTCATCCGGAGATTTTGAGGTATGATACATTAGCTTACGGATGTTTTCTAGAGGGCAACTATCGCAAAGCGCTTTTAATTTACATGTTTTTGTCCGAGTTTAATCTTCCCTCGGCTGTTAGCAATACCATATACTTATTAGAAAAGCATAGACTTATAGAGGACCAAGACATAATAATGTGCGATATATTCAAAGAGCTGGCCAAAACCGATCCCAAATACAACAAAAATATTGGAGATTGCTATCTACATGGAAATGGTGTTAAAAAATCATATATCAGTGCTTTTGCTAGCTATCTTTCGTCAAGGAAGTTCTCGGAGGAAGGCGCGTACAACACAGCGGTAATGTATGAGCATGGTCTCGGGGTGCCACGAAATCTGTACGAAGCCAAGAGAATCATTTCTAAGTATCTCTACCACGAATCGTCATACTTGGTTAAATTCTACTCTCTTCTTAGAATCAACCTAAAGATTCTGCTTTACCATCACTATATTATTTCCACGCTTGGAATATTGACTGCGGTTTCATTTTCATCGTTATTTTTTGTAAAAGGTGCATGACAAATAAAAAATTGCCTCGTCACGCTGCTATTATCGCAAAGCTTTTAGTAATAAAATGTAGTGTTTTGTTTCTATTATCGTTTTTAAACTGATGTATGATTTTCCAAGTGGATTTCACCCTGCCCATTCATGGACGAAGACAACCAAGTAAACATAAAAGAGCTTCTCTCGGCTAGATTTCAAAATCCCAAGTTCGTTTATGATGGTAAGCGAATGCAACCAATCTACGAAAGACAATGCTATGACTACTCATCTGCTATTATTTACCAGGCACACTGTCCTCTTCTTCCACAGTACAAGTTTCCAAACTTTGCGCTTGGCTCTCAAATCTTAAACATGCCATCCCCAGACGAGTGTACTCCATTCCAGGCCATGACCAATAAGTTTGTGCATCTGAGCATAAATAAAATACGTTCTCCTGTAAATTGTATTATCTGGAACTCTGACGGCCGCCGCCTGTTGAGTGGTAGCTGCTCTGGAGAGATCACAATGTGGAATGGATTCAGTTTTAATTTTGATACAATTGTGCAGGCCCATGAGTCGCCGATTCGTGCAATGGCATGGTCTCCCACATCTACCTTCTTGATCACCAGTGATAACTTGGGCTTTATAAAATACTGGAATCCCTCCATGAGCAATATACAAATTATAGAGGCACACAACGAGAGTATCAAGGACCTGTGCTTTAGCTACAACGATACCCGCTTCTGCAGTGCATCTGATGATTCTACAATCAAAGTGTGGGATAGTATCAATTCCCGATGCGAACGAGTCTTGCTGGGGCACAACTGGGATGTGAGAAAGGCACAGTGGCATCCTACAAAGGCCTTGATAGCCTCTGGAGGTAAAGATAACTTGTTAAAATTGTGGGATCCCAGAGAACAGGAATGTCTCACCACGTTTCACTACCACAAAAATACGATTCTGAGTCTAAAGTTCTACAAGGAAAATTACCTTCTTTCCGGAGGCAAAGACCAGGTGATAAAAATGCTAGACCTAAGAAATATGAAGGAGTGCTTCACATATAAAAACCATAATAAAGACGTTACATCTATAGCCACGCACCCATCAACCAGTCTCTTTGTGACTGGCAACAATGAAGGCGTGATTAATTTCTGGGACATGTTTAATGACTCACCCCTTGGACAGTCGGATAATAAACATGAAAATACTATATGGACACTGGACTTCCATCCGTCGGGCCATGCTCTTGCAAGTGGTTCTGCCGACTGCACAATCAAGTTTTGGATTAGGCCGCGTCCAAAGGATTTTGAACTAAGGGAAGAGCCAGTTGAAGAAATAGATGCTCAGCCTGAAGCTTTTGTGATACCCGGGCTGTAGCAAGAAGTCAACTATGCGCACAGCAAATGATGCTTATAATATTGCTATTATGTGCCATATTTGTCACTAAATCGCTACTTTAAAGCGTTTTTGGCTTGGGTTTATTTTTGTTTCATTTTAAAACGTTCCTCACTTTTCTTTCAGAACACAGTTCTGCCTCAGAATGCCCAATAAAGTGGAGTTGTCCAGAAATCAAGCACGCGAAGCCAACGAACCAATAGAACACTATGACTATGTTATCATAGGCACTGGACTGGCTGAAACAGCCCTGAGTAGTATTCTAGCCACCAATCCAAACATCAAAGTTCTCCACATAGACACAAATTCAACGTATGGAAACGAGTTCTCTACCTATAATTATACTCAACTTTTAAATCATTTTCAGTGCAAGACTAGTAAGTGCACTGGCAGTAACGAGGTAATAGACATCTTGGAGTCGGATAGTATTCAAGTGTTTGATAGCAAGTGTACACTGGATAACAGATCTTTTAACATAGATCTTACCCCAAAGCTTCTTCTGCAAGACTCGCCTATGAAAGATTTCCTTCTGAACAATAAAATACATGATATTGTGTTGTTCACGTCAATAAAAGGCTCGTATCTCTACACTGACAAACTGCATTCAATTCCAACAAACGAGATGCAATCATTAAGGAGCTCTGTAGTGGGATTCAGGCAGAAGTGCCGGGTAGTCAAGTTCTTTTGGAATGTTAGACATTACTATGAGAGTAAGGCGATGGACTCAAAGAAGACTATGTTGGAAGAATTCCAATCCTTTGGCCTCAATGAAGACTCTATCGACTTCATTGGCCATGCTGTTGCCCTGAACCTCGATGATAAATATCTGGAAGAATCTCCCAAAAAGACCTATGAAAGAATTGTGCGGTACGTATCCTCAATAGTCAGCTACGAAGACACAGAGAGTCCTTACATATACCCTCTATACGGGTTAAGTGAGTTATGCCAGGCATTTGCTAGAAAGGCTGCTCTTTGTGGTACCACCTTTATGTTAAATGCGCAAATATTGGAGATTGAGGACAAAAAATTAACGATTTTAGATCCTAACGGGGATAGACATGTAGTCAAAGCAGACAAGATTATTTCAGATCCTAAGTACTGGCCTGGATCGATTGTTCAAAGAGAGATAATCAGATGTATAATGGTGCTGAGAAAAGGTAGTCTAGAGTCAAGGAATATCATATTTTTAAAGAGGAATTTGAAAAGACAAAACGACATATTTTGTGTTGTGTTGGGCGAGCAAGAGTGTGCCAGTCCAGCGGAATATGAGATTGGCATTCTTTCAACAGTCAGAGAAAGCGACCGAAGCCCCGAAGAAGAGATAGAGCCAGTGTTGAAAAAATTTAATATTCTCAGATATTTTGTTGAGGTTAGAAAACTCTATTCAAATGTGGACCAGGAAAATGTATACTTTACTAGAAATGTGGATGAATCGGCGCTACTGGACAATATTTACGATGATATAGTAGAAATATGCGGAAAATTGAAAGTAGCAATGCCCACAGGCAATGCAGAAATTGATATAAATAAAGATTAATGTAGTAGAAGACATGCATATGTCCACAGGCTGGTATTTGATTTAAATAAAATTTCGTATGTTGGAATAGACTTAACAACGAATCCTTGTTTATGATACTATTTTTTATCTGCTATTTATGAGTTGGTTTTTTCCAAAACGCCTGCTACTCAACAGCAAGATTAATGCACTACTATAGTGCCTTTTCCAAACATGCCGCATTTTTGGCCAAGATTGCTTTCCATTCGAACTCATCACATTTTGTCCAAAACTCGTCGAACTATATTGTATGGAAATAGCATTTCTTGATAATACCACCCAAATTCTTAGGAATGCCAGCTAAAGGACCAACCACAACTGTTTTGTACAAACACAACAAAAGTGCCATAGTGTGCTCGCTAAAGTTATCACACCGAACTGGAAATGATCCCGCTGTTGTCATCATCTCCCCGCACAACATTGTGAAAAATACTTTGGTGAAAATCAATAGTGCAAATACTTTCATCACTTTGTAATTCACAATATAAAGGGTGGCTCCCTTGTTGAATATGTGAATAGCATTGCTATGTGCATGATCAAAGCAAATATTTCCTGCGAAATATCTGTTGGATCCTCATTTCAAGAAAGTATAATGGTTTACTGTCCGGTGTCCGACAGAGTTGAATATTTGTACATAGAAAATCTGAGCGATAGCAAAATGCTTGATCATTTAAAGAAACAGTGCATAGAAAATTATGCTCAGATATTAGAGTCTTTGTGCAATAAATAAGTTTTAGATTATACAAGTAGATTTTACGGAGCTGCCTTGTGAAATTTGAAGGTAGTATTCTTCTCAAAATGCAAAAGTAGGATATATTCGTACATAACGCCAGATCAGTCGCACTTCCTTTTGCACCCATCTGCAATGGAGTCAAGAACTTTTGTGGTCGTTGGAATGGCTGGATCTGGAAAGACTACCTTTTGCCAGAGGTTATACTCCTGGTTGAACACTGACATTGTTCTGAAGAACGGTCTAAATGCAAACATTACTTCTATAAACTTAGATCCTGCTGTGGTTAATCCGAAGATGCCGCTTACGATCGATATAAGAGACTCAATAGACTATAAAGAGACCATGGGAAAGTATAACTTGGGACCCAATGGTGCAATCAACACGTGTTTAAATCTGTTTCTACTCAACTTTGTCCCACCCGAGCCATCCAAATACACAATTGTTGACACGCCGGGACAGATAGAAGCCTTTACCTGGTCATCTCCGGGAGACATGATAATGGCGCTATTGAAAAATGTATGTATTCTTTACATAACTGACTTGTCACTCTGTACTAACAAGCACGTGTTTATTAATAATATGGTCTTTGCAGCTGCTCTGAAATGTAAGTTTAAAAGACCCGTATTGGTCGTATTTAATAAAGCTGACTGCTGCGAATGCAACGAAATTGAAAAATGGATTCGGGACTACAGCTATTTTAGAGAAAGCTTGACGGAAAACGAGTCAGAACTAGGAAGCATGGCACTTTACTTCGAAGAATTTTATAACAGCTTGAAGTTCACAGTTGTAAGTAGTTTTACTGGGTCTGGAAAGCATGAATTTCTATCAGCCGTTGATCAGATATTCACCAGTAACTGGCAAAAGTAAATATTCACGTTGGCATTCCAAGCTTAGCTATAAATATTTTGGCAAAATTTGTACGTCATGCATGTATCCTGTTTGTTAATTTACCTGTTTTTACTAGTTATCATTCATATTTCTGTACACTAAAAATCATATTTTAAAAGTTTAATTATTTTCAATGAAAATGCTAGTAACGTTGCACAGCAACTGCCCTTTATATTAAAAATAATAGATAAATTAGATACCATTTAATCATCACTGTTGTTTATTGGCTGTGGGAGGTATGTCTTGAAATTCTTCCTGAGAAGTCCATGAGACCCTTGTAGCTGCAGTCTGCCAGAACTATCGACTTCTAGTGTTTAATTATCTCAACTATCTCTTAACAAATCTTGCATTCGTGACTGTTAGAATTCCCAAGCCATTAGTCATGCATAAACATGCCACAAGTTTAAGTTGATATCCAATCATGTTCCTTAAGATATTGCAAAATGTATAAAGTATCACAGCATCATGCCCATTCATGCTTGCAATTATAGATATGCACCACCTTTCATGGGCTAGCCTCGCTTGTTCATGTAGCTACTTGTTTTTAGATCCTGGCCATTCTTACTGTTTCGTATCTCTCTTACTGTGGACAGGTGAGTTTTATTCAAATTTAAAGCTTTACTTTGAAAGAAAAAGCAGAGGATATAGAAATTTTTATCAAAGTAGAATCGGGTTGATAAAAATATGAACATGCAAAAATAGAACAAAAACTTTCCAAACAAAACCTTACATCTTCTCAAACATGCAAGAAATATGAATCAAGTATAAGATAGAATTGTATTGCCAAAGTTCGGCAATAAGTCGAAAACACTCTTTTGCTTACAAAAAGATTCTCTTGTACAGTGACATTGTTATTTCTTCACCATACTTCACCGGTTGTGCAAAATAGGCCTTAAATGCTCCCTTAGTACCTAGCGACTTCTTAACAAAGCCGCGTATACCTCTTCTAGCCTCCAACTGAATATTCCTAAAGTACTCAACCTGCTCCTTGGTATAGAACATTCCTTTTACAACAATATATCTCTTGCAGATCTTCACGGGCTTTCCTTTCAATTCAACACAGTCAAAAAATAACCTATTTTGAGAATAGCCATTAAAGAGTTTAACAGCCTTGGAAGAATTAAAATCAGATACGACAAATGCGTTTGGGCTAAATAGCGCTAGTGGCCCAACAAAGCTTACAATTCCTGATACAAGACTTGATTCTTGTTTAAAAGCGTTACTGTTGAGATTTCTCGTGACGATGCATTTTGCTCTGAAGATTTCAAATCCGTTGTCTACTACAATTTCTTCAGGAAGAGGCTCCTGCGACGAAAATTCATAGTTTAATATCGTGCATCTGCCCTCATATTCAAACAAATTGAACAATACAACTAAGCTGGGGTCAAATACCTCATTGGATGGCAGTGAAAGTCTAATTTTGAGCACTACACTTTTGTTTTTTGGAATAATACATTCTCTATTTTTAATTTGGCCCAGTACATGTTTAATGTTTCTGAGAAATACAATATCCTTGTAGTGTTCTGGCATCTCCTCTGGCCGATCCACAAACGATCCGACTGATAGGCTTCTAATTCCTTTATATTTTGAATATTTGTTGATCAAATCGAGCTCTGGATCAATAGGCTGCTCGTCATAAAACTCGCCATATTCAACATCATAATCTTCGTCGTTCTGCGATTCAAGATCTACTTCCTCAATACAAGGATCTCCATCATCAACATGTTGAATGCCCGCTGTTGAATTGTCAGAGCAGTCCTCATAGAGCGACTTAAATGCACTTTCGTCACATTCAACATTCAGCAATCTTCCTTCAATGCTCTCGCCATCCATAGTGACTTCTTCCACAATTCCTCGATATTCACCATTTATCACTACTCGATCTGATCTTAGGCTGTTTTTCATAAAACCCTCAACAATTAGCAGTCCATCGCAATATTTAGTGTCTGCTGGTACCATAAATGGTCTCTCAGAAGCTATTGTCGTATTTTGACACTGAATATTCCATAGAGCCATGTTCAGCATTGAAAAATCACATGTTTTGGGTGAACCAAAGCTCTTTGAAATTGCTCTTGCCAAGCTTTTTAATTTCTTATCGTGCACTATAACAACAGTTGGCATCAGCCTTTTTATAATGTTGATTAAATCATAATCAATCTCCATACCAGTGATTGTTAGAATTAGCAGATCGCTAACTCTACAGAGATAAGTTACGTAGCGATTTGAAAGCTCTGTAGCATCCCGCACAATAAAGTTGAATGGGAGCTTGATGTCGATCTCAGTTCTATTTCGGTTTAGATTTATTGTGGTAATGTTCATGTATGCGCCTTCTGAAGAATATATGCTCTTCTGTGTGTCTATTTTCTTGTTTTTTAACTCCTGTTTTTGCTTGTTTTTATTTTTCTGCACATCTCTTCTCATCGGGGAAAATTTTACAACTTTAGCTATTGAATTAAAAATTTATCTAGATAGCGATATTATACATGTTTTAATTTATCAGTTGGGCATTCCGTGAAGTAGTTAGCCCTTGAATTATGTTGGATGGGCTGCTCATCTGCTGGCATATTTTATCGTCAATGAACAACATCGTTCAGGAATTCGAGCCCATGGCAATGCTGAGCCAGACGATCAGAAATCTCAAATTTATGAAAAACAAGAAGCCAGAGCACGACAAAGTACAGGAGAAGACGCTTTCGTATTATGCATGTAAAAATATTATTTCTACTTTTGGAACATACCAAAAAGCGGCAAAGAAGATAAAACGAAATCCTCAGACAGTAGAAATTTTCTTTAAATCTATTCGGAGCTATCCCAGCACATAATAAATGTATTTTACCATAAAACTGTCTTGACTAACACTTGGAACATATCCTTTAGCAAAATAAATGTACATAATTTTATTTTTCTGTCTCATTATTCACATAATACACTGAGATCTGCCCCTTCTCTGCCATGAGTCTCAACCTATATGCTCCCTTCTGATATCTTGGATACTCCATTGTCGTGTCGCCAGGCGCCTTAACTGCAAATACCAGTTTGTTCTGGAATATCTTCAAATTCTGAAGATCATCATACGTAACATATGCATTCTCTAGGTTATTTTCATTGGAGGATAGCTCCGCTATTTCTCTATTTAATCTTTCTATATCGTTGTCCAATTCCTCCTCATCCCTTGAAATTCTATTTTGTTTGTTTTCATTTGCATCCATTCCCTCAATGGCCAGGATTTCATCTGCGTTCCCTCCTATCCATTTCACACTGTTTACCGACCACTTTGATATCATTCCCAGTCCCTCCAGTACATTTGTTATGTCATAGATTCTTCTTTTGCAAACCTGCAGAATCTCTGCTGCATGTGTCATGTTTATTTGTTGCTCTGGAGAACTGTAAATCAATTTGATGAACCGTTTCGTAAGTGAAAACAGCGAATTCTCATCTCTTTTGGAGCTTACACATAACTCACCTTCACTCCTTGCTGCTTCACTGTGTCTTTCCCTGAGCCGCTCTATGTCTGCACTGTTCTTCTTTTCACACTTTTTATTCTGAATGCATGGGCTTTCTTCTGCCTTCATCAGGGGTGAATTTTCAACAACTCAAAGGAGAAAATATCCCATGCTTGAATGCGCACTCTTTGGGATGTGTAGAGAAAAGCTAGGATTGAGCGGAAAACAGTTCAGTAGAATTGAAAAGGTGTATGAGACTGGTGGAAAGAAGGCAATAGCTCACATAGAGAAAGGCAGAGATGAAATGGAAATACATTTTTATGATACTCCTGACAGGAATAAACAAAGAATGTCAATAGTGCGTAAAAAGACTGTGGTACCATTCACAAAGGATTATGACAAGTTTCTAACTGCAATAGGATATAAGAATTTATGTGTAAATTTAGTTGAAGGATTTAGGTACTATAGAAATGGATATACAATCGAAATAACTAAGATGAAACGAACAAAAGACATACTAGACAGTAGCGAAGAGAACGAATTGGTTAGTTCGCCTGATCTTCCTGAATGCTTATTTGAGTATTACCTTGTAAAGGTATTTACAAATACAGAAAGCGTCAATGTGGGTGAAGAGATCTTAAATACTGCATTCCATGAGTTGAATGATGTCGTAAAGCTGGTCAAACCTGCACCTTCTATATTTTAAATTTATAAAAGTTTAATTGGCAAGAAACCCAAAATTAATGTAGTACAGATTGTTTAAAAGCCAAAATTCATTTTAAAACAAGTCTCTGCATCTTATATTAGTAAGAACATTGCTTGATACGTTACTTTAATACTGCTCATTGGACACTGCCAATGCACATCTTAGCAAAATAAAAACTGAAGATCTTCTTCGGTTAGTCTTTGAAGTGCATCCATGTTGTTATCAACTGTAGTTTCAAAGAGCGCCTTTTTCTTCTTTTGGAGAAGTAGCACCCTGGATTCTATCGAATCTTCAATGATTATTCTGTATATTCGTATAGATCTATGCTGCCCTATTCTGTGAATTCTGTCCATGGCCTGCTCCTCAACTGCCGGATTCCACCATAGATCCATAATAAAGACATTCTCTGCCTCTGTCAGGTTAAGGGCTATGCCACCCGCCTTAAGAGAAATAAGAAAGACGGTTATCTCTGAATTTGAGTTGAACTCGGCAATTGCTGCTTTTCTCTGGGATATAGTCATAGATCCATAGATCTTTACGCATCTAAACCCTGCCCTCTCCAGTCTCCACCTCAGTATTTCAAGAAAATTAACAAACTGAGAAAACACAATGCTTTTTGGCATCCTCCCTTCACTCCTCATTGAACTAAGCATTTCTATTAATGTTTCTATCTTTGTGGACGACTGCCAGCTATCGATCGCAATGAGATTTTGAGTTTTAATATTTTCTTCTGCTGATAGATCTATGGTTATTGGAACATGACAGACAGGACATTTGTTGGTGTGCAGGAGAAAAACTTCCGCTTCTCCTCTGCAAAACACATGATTGCACTTTGACCGCACTGGATCTTCAGCTTCTGCATTGCAATATCCGCATATTGGCGCATTTTCCATCAAGCCAGAATTCTTGTACGTCAAGTACGGATGGTTTACTGCCATGCGCATTTTTTGCAACAGCTCAAATATGTGAGCATAGTTGTTTAGAACCTGTCCTTTGATTGCATACGAGTTAAATTTTGATTTTGTATCACTATACAAGCTAGTGTAAAACTCCAGTTCCTGTGGGCTAAACAGACATCTTTTCACAATAACTACTTTTGAGGGCAAGCCAAGGCTCTTTTCTAATTCTGTCTTGGTTCTCCTTAAAATGAACTGCTTGGTAATGTGTTGTAATCTGGTAAATAGCTCCTCATTTCGGTCGGTATATCCGAGCTCTCTAATAGGATTGGCTATTCGCCGATTCCACCATGAAAAATGGCTGGTAGAAAAGTGGCCACAGACACATCGACCGTAATGACCAGTATCTTCTTTCTCGTCATTTCTCAGCCACACTAGACTTTTACAAGCGCACTTTTTACAAAAATAATACGATTGCGGATCTATCCTCAGAAACTTTATTAGCGATAGAAGATCATTGACTCTATTCTGGACAGGTGTGCCAGTTAATCCCCATCTATACTTAGATTGTAGCATACTAATTGCCTTTGATGTGCTGCTTTTATTATCTTTAATTGTATGCGCCTCGTCTAAGACTACCCTAGTAAATTTTAGAGAATGTAGCCTACTGTTCTTTTTTCTATATAGACTTTCAACCGTTCCGTATGTCGTTAAAATTATATTGAATCTGGTCTGATCTATATGAACTGCATTGCTGCCCTCGCAAACTTTTGTTCTGCCGTGATGAATAACAATATTGAATGCGCCAGGCGCATGCTTTTCAATTTCAGAAACCCACTGTGGAAGTGCAACTGAAGGGACGATTACAAGATTCAATTCGCCTGGCTTATCTCTAAGCATCAATCCGATCATCTGCAGGGTTTTGCCTAGTCCCATTTCATCAGCCAGAACTCCGCCCCCAGAACATTCTTGATTTTTGTGGCATTCTCTACTTTTCATCCACGAGATTCCGTAAAATTGATGCTCCATAGGCTGTGTCTTCAAGAAAGGAATCGGGGCATAGTCAACATCAAACTCTATGTTTTTTGTGTACAGCTTCTGTTCTTTCTCTCTTAGTTCTGGATGAAACTCATATATTGATGGCTCTTCTTTGAGTGATTTCGTTAGTTTTTTCAATTCGCTTGGATTTAGTGGTCTTGTCTTGCGCGGAGACGGAGCAGCAGTTTCAGAAATGCTTATATCCACCCTGGGATCAATTTGTATGAACTTTCTTGTGTTGAATTCTGTTTGATATCTGCCTTCCCCGTACTGCTTCTCATGGTCATCAAACATTTTGTGGGTTGATTCAAGATTCAGAAACTAACGGTCTGTAAATAAATCAATGCAAGCCTGGCTCGACCCAGCCAATACATAAATTTGCATCCTTTCTGCCTATTTAATTCGCTTGATCATGAAAACGTCGCTTTGCTCAAAATACACACTGTTCTTTGTTCCATTTCTAATTGCCATTAAAAACTCTCCATCAAAACCTGATAGGCTTTGGCTGTTGTTTTTATCAAAAAAACTAGATTCAGAAATCAGGGATTCGGCTTTGAAAAGTCTGAGAAAATCAGAAACCGTAGAATGTTCAAGATAATACACCAAATATGTTGGCAAAGAACACACCAGACAATCCTTGTTTTTCTCATTTAGTTCCGTCTTAAAATGCATAATGAGCCCTGAACAAGATAAAAGTTTCTCTCCTGCCTTGCAGAAAGAAGCATTAGGGATGCAATGATGGAGTTTGTTGTGCAGATAGAGGGGACGATCCTGTTAAGGAAGGTTTGCGAATCAATAAAAGACATGCGTTTTATTGAGAATCTTCTTGCTCTGATGACTGCTATGTCATAGATTAAAGCGGCGGAATTCTCAGTCTCATCCTCCAATCTTTCATATAAATTTATATGCATACTAGGAAACCTAAACTTATCCTCGCTGATCTTTACTTTTTTAATATGTTCAGATTGTAAATTAGTTGATGAATTTTCCTGCTCGTCTTCCAAAACTATCTCTTCACTTGAGCTAATATTGACAATGCTTTCATCTTTAGCCTCGTCCTCTGGTGTTACCTCTTTGGCCAGGTCTTCATTGCTTGACTCAATTGCATTATATGCTTGTATTTCTTCATGTAGAAACTCCTTATTTTTCCCCTCAACAACTGTTCTGGCCCAAACCAGACAATGTTCGAAGTTTTTTGGCCTTTGTCTGATAGTGCACACCGGATATACCTTTTCTCTTCGTTTTGGAAGACAATCAAAGCACTCTTTTCCATTATAGAATGACTGGCCCAGCCAGCCAGCAGATCCACCATCTACCATTTGCACACCTGCTGCATGGCATCTCTGATTTACGAATGATCTGGTTTCGTCATTATCGAGACAGTTGTAGACTATGTCGAACTGTTTGTAAAATTCAAGCTTTCTGAACTGGTTTATTTTTCCAAATATGTATTCTGCTCGTTTTCCTGTCTTTATCTTTTCACGTAGAACTTGTGCCTTACTTTTTCCAATATCCGTCCTTGTAAAGAGAAATTGCCTGTTCAGATTTGTGGAATCAATGGTGTCGTCATCGACGAATGTTAGCTTGTTTGAAGGGTCCATGGCCAATAGCTTTGCCAATTCACATCCAAGACCGCCACAGCCGATTACTAAAATTTTTCGTTCCATTTTTAGGCTAAGTAATAGAATAAATAGAAGAGGGCTATAATCGGTTGAAAATAATAAAAATAGTTGAATCACCTTAGTTAACAGAACAATCGCTTGGAAATATATAGCAGTTGTCTTTTGTGGAATAAAAACATATCTTACGCCAAGTAACGGAAAAACTCAAAACAGCAATTGAATATAAATATGCCTCCAAATAGTAGATTTGGAGAAGTATTGTCATGCCAATCTTGACACCAGGAAACACAAGCTTCTTGGCAACGCTTAAGCATGGGCCAAAATTTTTAAAACTTTAAAAGAGGAATAATAAAAAACAAGCGAGATACGTACACATTCACTGTACAGAAAATATACTGAAACCAGCTTACTGCAGGATGCCAACGATAGTATATCCTTGGTGGCTGAGATTATATTGTTGTATATTCCTTGAGTGGTGGCAGACATGCTGAAATGCAGAGCAGACGATTTTAAAGCCAAATGCTTATCACTATGTCTTACTTAGGATATCTAAACTTGTAATAACTTAGCAGCGGACAATGAGGCTCCACTCAAATTTATGTCAATAAGTATTACTTTGCCAGCCATTATTAATAGTATTTTTATTTAAAAAGATATGAAAAGATTGAATCTGCATTCGTTGATTTGTCTTCATTGATGTCTCCGCTGTAGTTTTTATCGACAAAAACATGGGTATATGGCTTACTGTCATCCATTGACCCACCTCCTGCCAGTATTAAATTTTTATAATTATCTAGCTTACATTCTGGACAATAAAATTTGACATTCCAGCGATGGAAAGGCCTTCTTCTGGTTTCCTGAATCTTCGTTCTCCACTTTCTGATACTGTCTGCCGTCTTCTTGTCTTTGTGTGACATGTCTTTTGAGCTGACCCATTCATACTTTTCAAAGTCGAAATTTGCCTGATTTTCAAAGTCTTGTATGAAATCAGGAGTAAGAATCCAGCAGCCGCTAACCAGACTACAAAAGAACTTCTCTGAGGAGCTAAGTGACCCCCATTATTAAGTGTGTGCATCCCTCAAACTTATCCGAATCCACAAATTTGATCCCAAAATTTCTGAATTTTCTGATGGCCTCGTCTTTGAAAAACAAGGGCAGCCCAGTAAATTGGAATACCATTTCTTCCTGCTTTTTGAAGCTCAATCTTCTCCTGAAATTCAGTGTGAGTTTGTTTGCACTGAATTTGCTTTCTTTTGTATGTTTCAGCAGAATTAAGCACTGGTCAACCCAATCAGGACTCAGTACCAGAAACGGAAATCTTTGCTCATCATCCTTCTGTCCGCCCATTTGACTATTTGGATCGTTTACAAAGGATTTTAAGCTGCTTAGGTTTGCATCTTTAGTAATGTAATGTGTGCATCGGGAGTCCAAGACGCCTTTAACATTCGACCCAAGACTTTTAAGCTTGTAAATGTACTCATTGGCATTTTCCATGTCCTTGTCGACCACAGACACTGCATTTTGTAGCACGACTTTGGAAATAGGAAAATGGTACCGGTAAAAACCTGAGTACAGAAGCGAGTTGCTTTCAAAGCAGTCAAATATGTATTGATAGTGGATTAGTTTAGAAGAATGTTCTCTGTATTCATCGTAATTGAAGGTAATCACATACTCTGTATCTTCGCTAATCAATGAAACTCTTGTTCCTTCATTTTCGATAATTATTCTTCTTAATTTATTGAAAAGCTGCTTGGGCAGCTTTGGATCAATATAAAATACTCTTTCAAAGAACATGGCCTTTGGCCGAAGCTGTTTTGCATCGTATTTTGTTTTCTTCTTAAACAAAGAGTAGTTTCCACTGAAGACCTGACTTGTCTTGATAACTGGAATTTCATACTTTTTGCAAAATTTATATTTTTCTGAATCTTCATTGTCACAGACAAGAAAATCAGTAAAAATTGAGCAGTTTGGCTCATACTTTGCACCCAAAAGTATGAAATAGTTGTTGTAGATTTCTTCTGAAATTCCGCTTGTTGTAAACACAGCTCCCTGAAATGGCTTTATCTCAAAGCCTTGTAGTTCGGGGTCAGATTGTATAAAAACTGTGGATGTACAATTGGAATGTTCCATAGAAGGGCCTGGATATACTTCTCTGTAAACACGGCTTTGTATGTGACTAAAAACCGAGTCTTTGGTGTTAGTGTTGGAGAAATTGAAATATTTGGAGGCAGCTCGATAGTTGAGATTTCCATGCCAGTCAGTGCTGTTGTTGCTATTTGGTAGTTTATATTTTGGGTGTTCTGTATTTCAAAGCTTTGGCTTCTGTCCATTGGGATATGCTTGGCATCGAAAATTTGAAGATTACAAACAATTTACGAGTGTGTCTCCAATTCAAAAAGGGGCCAGGGCTGAAACCTACTGTTAGATCCTTAAATTCTTGTATTACTGTGAACATTCGAAGCATGTAGCCTCCATATAATATTCTAAAGTATCCGTAAGCTGTTCTGTGTGGATCAAATAGTACCATTTACGCTGATATATGCACTTTGTTCTAGTTAGAGCCACCCATAAATCACCCTACTGTTGAAATTCACTTACAACTCTAAATGTACTATAACAAAAATTGATTACAAACGACAAACTTTTGGTGAAGTTGGATGGAAATGAATGCTAAGCCAATTTATTTAGTTTTATCTTATTGAAAGATATGAATATCCAAACAGATAACTCAGCAGCCACTTCAGAACTTTGATTCTATTCATAAAGGGGCAACACTATGAATTCTTATATTTATGAAATGGACTAATCAATTTTGGGTTAAAGAATCTTGGTCTTGAAGCAATCAATAAAAACAAACCAACCACCTTGCAAAATACTCGCCACTTATTTTTGCCTGTGCATGTCATAATATCAATGCAATAACCTCATGCCATTTCTGTATGTGGTTTCCTTTTAAAACTCTGACCAGTCACAGAAGCTTTAGTGTTGATCAATGTGATTTTTGGATTTTGCTTAATGAAAAGTAGCATTATCCCACCCATTCTCTTGATGTATGCAATCATTAATCATATATATGTCTCTAGAGCAGGCTGTCTAGCGCGTATATTACCGCACGAACTTGGAATTCAAATTGCTAACAAGAAAATACAACTTAAAGCTGTCACCAATGAGCTATTTTATACTTTCAAGTGCCATTCTGATTTCCTTGCATCTGTTTCTGTAAATGGAAGAACAATTTCCAGAGTAATTCATTTTCAAGAAACAAAAGTTAATTTAATTTATTCATTTGATAATACTTTTATTGAACTGTCTATAACTCTTACTCATAGCTCCTGGTCTGTCCTTGATTCATCAATCGATTCATTTGGAGCTTACAAGGGTCAAGCCTACTATGTTGAGGATAGCACTCTTGAAACTTCTTATGAAAATGTATTTACTCTTCAAAAGCAGTTTCCATTATTTTTAAAACTCCAATCGCATCAAAGTATTGTCTACGTTGACATTATCAATAAAATTGTCATCAAGTCCAGCCCTATCATCCGAAAATATTGTATTCTTAGAAAACTAAGCAGATTTTTGGCCAGCAACATCCCGCAAAGACATGTTTTTGCTTCTGAAAAGATTTTGATCGATCGTACCTGTTTGATAGAAAATGCCTTGGCATACTTTTTACCCGCAATGAAAATTCAAAGTGTATACCACATCAAGATCGCATTTCTAGACGAAATGGGTGAAGACCAGGGAGCCTTAAAACGCGAGTTTTTATATCTTCTTTTTAATAAGCTAGTAGCTGATCTCAGAGTTGATAAAAGTTCAGATATTTACGATGTCAAGGCGGACGTCGACTGCCCCGAATTTGACTACTTTTACACGAACAGAAGTGACCAGGTTGGGATCTTGGACGACATTTTAAAGGATGATTCTTCCGACACAGCGAAGTATTTCGTGCTTTTGGGTGCCACGGTAGCCTCTTTATTTCTGCTTTCCGAAACCCTGCAATGCAACTTCTCCCTGCTTTTTTATGAATCTCTTCTTTCAAGAAAGTTTACAATAAGACACATTCAGGATGTTGAGCTCCAAAGACATATCGGAACAGTCGATAGTACGAAGTATATCAGCGAGTGCCTGTTCAAGCCACGCCAAAACCAGTATGATCATGTTAAATTTGGATTCGACTTTGTACTAGACTCAACAAACAGTAGTACCAGCATATCTAAGAAACTTCCAGATTTCTTTTGTGCGTTTGATTTTCCCTTTATTTTCCATCATCTTGATCCAATAAACACAGATGTACTCAGAAATAAGGTATGCTATGTCAATTGCAGCTCAACTACCAAAGAGATAATCTGGCTGTGGAGGGAGCTAAGTAACAAGGACCAGCACTTTCTCTCAAAGTTTCTCCTTTTCATAACAGGCTCGGGAAATCCGACCAATTCGATAAACGAATGGATGTTTACGATAGAGAAAGTGAATACAAATAATGAAATGTTCAGAGCTAGTGCCTGTGTTAAAAGACTATACATTTCTGGTTTTGATTCACAGGAAAGCCTCTCCAAATCTTTAGATATAAGCGTTTTGAATGCTGAAGGATTTCATTTCATATGAACCGATGCCATCTTATACTCAATAGATTTCAATATTAAATAAATATACTCAAGCAGATCAGTCTTTAATGTTTATTTAATTGCTTAGATCTCTCTGTTCCCCTGATACTATCTTTGATATTTCTGAAACTGCAACTGCAATATCCTTTGAATTAAAAATACCTGCATACATCTCGTGCTCTTCATTTAGCTCTTTTCTCAAGCTTTCAAGATAAATTTCTGAATCCTCTTGGATCTTTTTGATCTTTTTATCATGCTCGGATTGAATGATACTCAATGCGAGCTCTGCATCGTGTATGGCCCTGCGCTTGGCCTCTTCTTTATCATGAACAGCGGCCTGTATTCTCTCTTCTGCTTCTTTTTCTTTGTCTATCAACTGCTGGATGTTGGCTTCCATTGTTTATCGTAGTTCTAATGCTTTTGCTTAAACTGTTTCAAAATTGAAAATACAAACAGCTTTACAGCTACATATGAAAAAGGATGCAAAATAATATTTAAATTCCCAGAGTTTAATGACTCGTTTCAAACGAAACTATAGAGAAAACATGCTTTGGGAAGTCTGTCTTATACCAAAAAGCATAAAGCCGATAACAAAGATAATCAATGAGAAGAACATGTAAATTTTGATGGAAGAGTCGCTAATGAAGCTAAAACTAATCATATCATTTTCAGTTGGTCCAAAAGTAGCTATTTCAGTAATATCACTTTCAACTTCTTGATACTCTCTGCTTGTCTGAGCCAAACTTTGTTCTAGACAATTATCTTTCTTGCCATCTTCTGTACAGCATATATTTGTAAAAATAACAAGTAGTAGTATCATACTTCTCAACATACTGGGCTAAATTTTTTACAGAATATAGTAATATATCACTTGATAAATTAATAACCAAAAGAGTGTTTTGGAACAGTGATGATTGCTGGGAGTCTTTAGTGTTAAGAACATGGCTTGGGTGTTCTGGAAATTTTATATATCTTCTGACAATGTTACTGCTCTGATATAAATTTGACAGCTGAAATGATATATTGCTTGGTTTGCTAACATGCTTGACACGTGCCAAACATACCAGACTTACACATGTAAAGTCTTGATGCTTATATACTCTTCAGTAGACTAAATGTGAGCAGACGATTGGTCCATCAGAAGGCTAGCCCATAGATAGTTAGTTTCCTTACATTATTATGCATGCACCAATTTGATCAAATTTCTAACATAAAGCTTGAATATTCTGTTAAAAACGTTAATAAATCAAACATAAAAATGGATATTTTCTTTACGCATAAAGACAAGCCATGTCTACAACTAAAATGCAGATAAAACCAAGAACGCTGCTAACTTTGCAGCTGTGGAGTTAAGCTACCACATAGGCGCTTTAAAAATACACACTAGAATCGAAGGCAGAGCTGCTGTTAATTGCTTAGCTCGTATATCCTAGGATGGAGAAACTTGAGAGGCTGTGTTTATGACATTTGTAGATGCTTGTTCAATTATTAATAAGCATATTTTCAAATCGAAAGCTGGTGCTTGCCGCTTTGCATAGTCTATTTTTTCTTTTGAACTTGTCGCTTAACATAGTTTCTTACCAAAATTTCATTGTCCGTAACAAAGCTCCGATTTAGCAGCTCTCTGTCGAAAAATTCTTGGTTGACCTTAGATAGCATAAAATCGTTGTAGAGCATAATTTCTGGGTAAAACTCGGATTCTTTTATAAGGCTGTTATATGGCTTCCTCCTCCTAATCCCATCAATCATCTTCTGGTACTCATCGAAGAATATCAATGTCGAGTTGGTATTTTCTAGACAGAAGTCGCAATGAAGTCGGAGAGGCAGGCCATAATGATCACGGGATTTGTTGGCATGCTTCTCGACTTCTCTCAAGATTTTAATTTCTTTTTCAAAACCACTCAGATTTTTAATATTAAAAATTTTGATAAAGTCTAAAAACACCCTAGGATTCTTGTACAGCAACTTTTTCAAAAGTTTGGAATTCTTAGTGAGCAATTTGAGAATTTTCTTTTGAGCTGTACCTAATTTTGTGTCCTGTGATCTACCAATGAGAATGTCCTCAAAAACACCCGCGAAAGCACCAGGAACATTGTTGCTTTCTCTAATTGCCAATAGCATTATAAGATTTACCTTTTTGCTCCCTCTGAGTTTCAAAGCTTTCTTTGGATCTTTCAGAATTCTTCGCAAAGTCTTAAACGACGATGAGCTGTCCCTTTCATATGTATGAATAAGTTTGTGATGGCTGTCTTGGACTGGCCGTAAAGTGATAATCTTCAATGCGTTTTTAGTGCATAGAATAACATTGCATCCAACTCTTTTTACAAGAACAGTGCTGTCTTGCCGGTCCATTCCAGGGATAGGTTTGGCTGGCTACTGAAATACCAGTAAACAAAAAACACACCAGCTCCAAAGTGTAATTTTATATTTACAGCGCGGCTGCAATTGGCTTGTGACATAATATGTTATTTTAGCGACCCTGCTCGAGTTTTAAATTATTTGTTTCTGCTTAGTCCCATGAGCACAACATGGTTAAAAAGGCTACAAAGCTCTAAAGTTTCTGAAAGCTTCAATGAGTACACACAAGCAATCAACAAGCTTACAAAAGAAAATGCCAAAGACATCATTCTTCTTCTGTCTGACAACAATAACAACGAAGAGCTTTTCAAACTTCTTCTTTCATCTGCAATAAACAAAATTACCAGTCTTTCAAATGACAGTTCTGCAGAGCTGTCTGAATTCCTTCCGTACATTCTGAGCTCCATAAAACTCTTGCAAAATCCCATTTCAATACTCTTCCAGCTGCTTGAAAATCTGCCGCAGAAACGGGACGAGATTGCCAGACTCAAAATCCTGGAGGTGTTGTCAAAATTTGAATTTAATGTAGCGAACATCATCAATTTACTCTATAAGAGTGATACTGACACTGTTATTTCTGATATTCTTAAAATTAAGGAGAACATGATTGATGAGTTTATCAGAAACTCCATCAAAATTGACAACCCAACCGTTGCCAAGAACCTCAGCTCACTTCTTCCTAGCCTCGACTCAAAGTTCTTTGTAAACTACAACTCGTTCCTCTTTCTTTTTGAATCTGAGAGCCATTATTTGAGAAACTGTCTCTTGGACATCTTTCAAATACTCGTTCAAAAGTTCAAGGAACACGAAAATATTGAAGCCATCAGGGAACTCACACATCACATTAGCGAAAGGCTTTGCGATGTAAACTTTTATGTTAGAAGCAAGGCTTTGGGTGTTATTGGAGAACTGTTCAAAACAGAATGTATACTTAAAGACCAAAGAAATACTCTGATCAAGGACATTATAGATCGTGCGAAGGACAAGACTGTTATTGTTAGGAAAAGAAGCATAAGCTTACTCTCTCAGATATTAATCAATCATCCATTTCGAGATAGAGAGCATCTTGATAGAACAGAAAGCATGTCAAAGAATATGACAGAAGTTCAGAAAAGAATAGCAGAAGACTTTGACGAGTTTGTTGGCATTATGGAGTCGGGTCTGTCTCTCATTGTGTCTCTTTTGGATTACAATCTTAAAACGGACTTGGTTGAGATTTCTGGATTCATAAAGGTTTCGTATTTATTAAAACTGAAGGGTGCAAAAGAAGCTATTCAGAAAATCCTTGGAGTAGTATTTACAAAGGACAGGCAAGTGGTGGTAGATGTTTTTAAGGATATTCTGTCCCATAGAGGTGAGATCCTCTTTGAATTTATTAATGATAAGGCCTTTGAGGTTATACTGAGCTGCCTTGAAATTGACGAAAAGATTCTTTACAAGAACGTAATCAATGGACATAGAATTTTCGAAGGTGTATATATTTTAAGACACACCCAAAAGAGTGTCTCTGAATCTACTGCTTTGAATTTATTCCAATACATAACTGAGATACTGTTTAAGTCAAAGGATGAAGAAGCACTCAAGATGAATATTGAAACATATATCAACACGCTGTGTATTTTGAAGAATTTAAAGCACAGAATCGATTGCAGTAGTGATGTTTTTACTCTTTGCATTAAGAATGTCATTAAAATGGTCTTTTTTGAAAGATCCATCATCAAACATACCGTTGAGCTGATATACTGCATAAGTAGCAATCCTGAAATTACAATTGGAAAGTTACTGAAGAACCTCTGCTTGACAAAAAGCACTTTGAAAATATTGATGCAGTAGGATGGGTGGCTCTAAACCAGTTTTATCTGTTGGAAAGACTTGAAAGATCATTAAAGTCCGATAAAGGCGTCGCCGATAGGCTTTCGCTTGCACGTTCTTCAACAATCAAAAAAAGCTTGGAGGATGGCAAAAGCACAGAAAGCATTAGAGAAAAAAGAAAGAGTTTGGAGGAAAGTAGAAGAGCTTCCCTTTCCAGTATGTCATTTGATAAGAGCCATCACTTAAATAGTGGAAGACTTAGCCTGAGGTTTGATGAACTTGAAGAGTCGCTCAAAAGCAAGACTGATGAAGAAATTGCAGATTTCTTCTTTTATTTGAAAGAGAAAGAAGTTCTTTATTCTGAGAATTCAATACTCCACCAGTTCGTTCCTCTTTTGCTTGATTCCTTGAAAAGTTCCAATTCTGATATTCAGTCCATTGCACACTCTTCTCTATTCAAATGCATGCTGATATCCTCAGAATTCTTCAATGAGCACAAGCACATTGTTTTTGATGCTTTGAACAGCCCCTGCATTGCAGTCCGAAATAATGCTGTTACAGCTTTCCATGATTTTTTAATATTTTATAACACATCGCTAGATTCCTCGGTCATATTTGATAAGCTTAGAGACAAAGATGTTAGCAAGAATGCGATGCTGGTTGTGTTCAACCTGCTTCATAAAAACATTATCCGTTTGAAGAGTAATGCTGTTCAGCTTGTTTCCCTTCTCTTTGATGAGTCTCTTGGCTCGATTGTCAAGACACTTGTAAGATCTCTTTCCGGAAACAACAATGCGATCAGCGTTATATTCTATGAGACATTCACCAGCGATCTTGGTGCTGAATTTGTCAAATATCTTGCACCATTCGTTTCATCATCCATTCATGAATCTTTGTTCCTTAAATGCCTTAATAACTACAATGACATTCAAAAGTTAAAAGCTGTCTATGAAAATTTTGAGCTTAGTGAAAAATTTGTCAAGGACAATCTATTCCGTGAGGAAATGAAAGTGTTTGTAGATCAAAAAGCTGCAGTTTGAAACTAAAATGCACATAAGTTCAATATGAAGGGCATAATTTGTGAGATGTCACTAATTTACTGAAAACATGCAATGCAGATTATTAGACTTTAGCCCAAAGCATGTTTGTTTATTATAGACCTTTCTATTGTCGGGCTAATTTACTGTTCAGTGGATGCTGTGGAGCTCTTCAATTAAAGTCATCCTCTGACTCTTCGGCGTTCTTGTTTTCATTGTACATCCTCACTATTTGGTTGCTCGTTGTTGCGTCTTCCGGCTTTTTATCGGGTCTTTCTTTGATAAACCTTGGAAACCTAAGACTTATGCCCTTTTCCGATGATCCAGCTGAATATATAGGACTATGGCTCAGTGAAGCAGCTTTAACCTCCCAGACATATTTTGGCTCTATCCAAACATCAGGCTTCACACTTCTCTCATTGTACACAACTCTAGATAGATTTGCTGTTATTAATGGGCTCAGCTGATCATAGTACAGCTGAAGTGCTTCATCATTAAAGCCTGTGCCAATCTTACAGCATGCTTCAAACTTATCAGTTTCGTCGTTGTAGACTGCAAGTAGGAATCCTCCAAAATTTCCTGTTCTCTTTCCTTTTCCATAGAATGCTCCAATAACAACAAGATCAAGAGAGTCACCCAGATTATCTAAATAATCTTTCTTTAGTTTTACCCATTTATTACTTCTATGCGAAGGCTTATAGATGGATTGGAGCAGCTTAAGCATTACGCCCTCACAGTTGGCTTGGAGGGCAACTTTGAAGTGTGAATCGACATCTTCAATGCTTGTACACTCGACTCCGTTGGCCATTTGCAGCTTATCATCAATCTCCTTAAAATTTGATTTCAATATGTCTCTTCTTGTCTTAAAGGGATAGTGAACAAGTTCCTGGGAGTCATAAAACAGTAAATCAAAGACAAAAACGCACACATTGACCTCAATCTTATCTATGTTCTTTCTTTTTCTTGTACTCAATGTTTGGAATGGCAATATCGCCCCGTCTTCATATGCAACAGCTTCTCCATCCAAAACAAATGATTTCTCATTTATTTTAAGAGAGGAAATGTCTGGATACTTCTCTGTTAAGTCCTCCGAGTTTCTTGAAAATACCTTTGTCTTTCCGTCAAAATGATGGATCTGCACTCTTTCCCCATCATATTTAAATTCCGATAGAAACTCTTCATTTTCAACCTTTGCAAAGGCAGTTGTCAAATTCTTAGAGGGCTGTGCCAGCATTGGCTTGACAGGTATGCCAGGAACAATGCTGCACATTTCATGCAGCCTCTCAACTCCATGCTCCAACAGCATTTTTGAAAGATGTTCAAAGTCTGGATGCTTGTTATAGGCCTCTTTTATAGCATCGTGTTCGTGTTCTCCGAAAGCCAAACTTAGTGATATCAGTACTGTTTGCAGAGCCAGCCCTATCTTCAGTTGGCATTCAAATAGCCGTATCATATATTTGGCCTCCAGTGGTGAGCTTGCACTTATCAGTGACAGCATAATGTTCTTCTTGCTATTCATAGAGTTCCTTCCTGTCTCCCTTGAAATTCTTCTCAGCTGATCAACCACCTCCACGACTGTTAGCTGTCGTTTTGAAATAAAAAGCTGATTTACTCTACTTTCCATTGCTATTTCTCCCAGGTCCCCAGTCTTTATGTATCGTTGCTTTATTGTCTTTACAGTGAGGCCAGTTCCCTCGGCAACTACCATCTGGATCATGTGCTCTCCAATTCCCAGTTCTGTATTGTGGTAGTCTGGATATATTGAAGCATGGCACAAATAAAGTACACTTGAGAGGCTCTGGGAATCCTCTGAAATGACCTTTTTGAAGAAGGAAGACAAAATGTCCTGGATTTCCAGCCTTTTTGTGGTATTTGAGATTTTTTCGAATTCCTTGCACAGGTCGATGAACAAAGTCTTCTTAGCCACCTTTTCAGCCATTTGGGCAAGGTCTAAGAAAATTTTTGATAATCATTGCAAGATAAGTTTGGCTGTAACGCCATCTATAAAGCATACCAAATGTAAAGTAACGGCAATTAAATATTTGATGCGAAACCCTTTGATCGTATACAGTTTACTTAAAGGACACGATAGCCGATAGGACCAGCATTGACTAGCTGTGGTTTACACCAGTGCTTTCAATTTGAGGTACTGCACTTATCCCCATTGAAGACCCCATAGTTAAATAATGCATGTGTCTTTTCATCCAAAACCAAGGCTATAATGAAATTGTCCACAGACTAGTTAGTTTTTTAAGGTCCTGTGCAGAAGCATGTCAAATAGCAGCTGATCTGGACAATTTCAATAAGTTTATCGTTTGGTTAAGTATAAACTTTCCAGTTAATTTTCCAAGCTACTTTTTTACTCTAAAAATTCTCTGTTTCTTTGATGTATTCCTATTTTTCTGACCCCAAATGGAAAACAAATATTTTAGAGCTTCTATCAATTCTATTCCAAAAGACCAGTCAAAGCTCAGAAATTCCGCAATACCTTTTTTTGTCAGCGTGGAATTCCAAAAAGAAGGTCTTTCCGTTCCGATAATTCAAGACTCCCTCGTTCGTTGTGACAAGTGTAAAGCTTATTTAAATCCGTTCGTCGAAGTAATAAATCCTGGATATAAGTGGAAGTGCAATCTCTGCGATACTGTCAACGAAGTGTCCATTCCCTTTCAGATGAAGGAGCGAAAGACGTGTGAGAACAGTGCAGATCCACTAGCTAATTCAACCTTTAATAAAACCTACTTTTTAAGAGAGGAGCTCTTAAACGAGACGTACGAGATTGAGGCTCCAGACTCCTTCAATGTTGCCACTCCAGATCAGCCGATTCTTTGCTTTCTGATTGACATTTCAGCCGAGGCCATGAGCCTCAATGTTCTATCCAGTGTATTGAACTGCATTAAAGAGACTCTAAAGAATATTGACTACGATAAGAGAACCAAGGCTTCGCTTATGTTTTACAGTGAGTCCGTATATATCTTAAATAATAACCATGCTTTTACAATTATCAATGGTGATGTACCGTTAATTCTTACCGAGAGAATTCTATTTACACTTGAAAAGGAAGGCGAAAATTCGTTTTTTAATATCAATTTTGATAAAATTGGAAGATATTTTGAAGCTAGGAGGTCTAATTATATGAATTATCTTCTTGCCTTGAAGACATGTGTCCAGGCGTTTAGATCTGCCACTCTCTTCAGCTTTGTTTCTACAACACCCAATTTTGAGGAGAGCAGAGTGGAGACGTCTGCCAGTCTCATATGTAAGAATAGCAGCTACAAGGATATTGCAGAGTCTCTTGTAAGGAAGAATATTTGCTGCAACCTGTTCATTATGACAAGAAGTAGCGTTGAGCTTAGCTCCATTAAAATTCCTTCCCAGTACACCGGGGGACAGATTCTCCATTACTCTAACTATGACGGATGCGATGCATCTTCAACATCAAAATTCTACTGTGATCTGTCGGATTATTTCAATAGAGAGACTAACTTCGGAGCGGTGTGCCGCATCAGAGCAAATGAAGGCATTGTTCTGAAAGGCGTCTATGGAAATTTCTATCAGAAGGGCAGTGACTTGTTGTCGTATTCGAATTACAACCCCTGTCATAACATTAACTTCACTATTCAGTTCTACAACGATGTAAAATCAGCCCTGTACATCCAAATAGCCATGGCCAGAGTCGTTAAGAATGGAAATAAGCTGATAAGAGTGATGAATATCTGCATCCCTATTGGCAATGTTTCCTTCTATGAAACCTGCGATGCATATTCCATTGCACATTGTATGTGTCTTGAATCATTCTACTATGAAAGCAAAAAAAAGCTAGGAGGTAAAGAGAATTTAGAAAACAAACTAACTGAAATATGGAAAGAAATAAAGACAAACTATGGAAAAGTGCCTGATTCCCTTTACAATCTCCCAGTTTATATCTCCTCCCTTATGAAAAGCGTGCCCTTTAGACCCGACATATCCACTCCCGCTGACTTCCGAGGATACTACATGTACATGCTTTCTAACTACCAAAGTAAGATTGTTGATCTTATGATATATCCTCTTCTTTTGAATATTCTGACTGAGAATGTAGCACCTCTTCCCCTCTCTCTCAGATCCATCGACCAAGCCGGACTGTACATCCTTGATACTGGTGTTAACATATTCTTCTACATTGGATCTAAGTGTGATGGATCTACTATTGCATCTCTCTTCGATAATCCTAACAGCGGCCCATTCCTCTTCAATCCACCTGAAAATGAGTTTTCTAAGTATGTGTCAGAGCTAGTTGTTTACCTGATGGAGGGCAGATCAATAAAACCCAAGTTTGTGCTGGCGAATGGCCAGGCCACAAGTGTATATAACGACATATTCTTCAGTTATATGTTTGAAGACTCGATCTACCAGCTGCCTAGTGCAATAGAGTTTAGAAATTTCTTAGAAAACAAAAACAAATAAAAAATGATTAGCTTTAACTACTGATCTTTTAGCACTGTTAGTTTTGTGTTTGTACATAAAAGCAACTATATAATGTATATTTGCATGCATCTTTCCATTGTTTTTTACTAAAAGGCTAATCCTCAAAAAGAGATCAAGTGGTCTACTGCTGATGTTGTTCGATGGTGTGAAGGCTTTCCACAAATTCTCCTGGCCATTGCTCAGCTAAACCTTGCCACGTGCCTCTCTACCATATTTAACAGGAGTAGCCCCCTCAGTAGAAACAAATGGCCTCAAAGAGAATAAAAAAGATAGAAGAAATGATAAAAGACAGGAGTGCACTAAAGAATGAGATCAGTAGACTAGAAAATAAGATATTCAAAGTTGAGAATGAGTATTTAGAGCTTACACAGGGGTGTTCACTGCTTAAGAATTTAGAATTTTACATTCATGCCAACCCGAAAAGAAAAGAACAAGCGTAGAGGAAGATGATAGAGTATTTTCAACCAACTTTCCCACACAGAAGACAGTATAGACGACAGCTAAGCAATGGATGTTGCTAGGCAGGCTGTATATTTTACAAATAAAGCTTTACTTTTTAGGCCAAACCTGAATAGCAGGCTTCCTTCTATTCTGTGGTAACACCACAAATGCTTTTAATTGTATCCCTTTATGTTGTGTCTTTGTAATCTACTTCGCATCTGCCTACACTTATCTTTATGCAGGCATTCTCCCCTTACATGCAAGAAAAAAGAGAATGCATAAAAACCATAAACACATGCATAGAAGGAATTCTGGAGAATTTAGTTGGTATTCTAGTTTTGTTAAAGGTATCTAAAGGAACCAAAAATAGAAGAGATCTCCTCACTGGTTTTTGCAAAGAAGAAAATGTCTGAGCTTACAGAAAATCTGCAAAGAATATTCCAGAATCTTGTATATTTAAAGCTAATCCACAGGAACTATCACGTAAAATATGAGCAAGGGCTTAATGCCTTAGCTGCTAATGAAAAGTTGGGCATTTTCAGTGAGTACTTTGAAGAAATATCAAAGGACTTCCAGCAAGCTAGTACAAGTTTGTAAACAGTTCCTCTTTTAGCATATACATCTTGTCCTATGCTATTCTTTCAATAAGACCAGTGCGCACAAGAGACACTAGCTAGGAGAACGACTCTTGCTTCAACAATAAAGATTATGCTTGTACTTTTTGATTTGATAAGTATGACATTGGTTTTTTATCCTATTTAAAATGTCATTTGAATTCGAAAATGACGGTCTTAAGAGCATCAAAAGACGAGATGGAGATGACTATGACCTTGATTTGGGAATCGCAATTTCAAAGTCGCTCGTGAGAGAGCCAGGATCTCAGATTTTAAGTCCGGAGGAAGTCCAGAAAAAAGTGTGCGAAAAGATAAGAGAGATAGTAAAGGAGTAGAGTGTTTTATGCCAAATCTTGAGTTGCTTTGCTCACTAACAAGTGTGCAGGTGGTGGGAATGCCATGATTATTAACGAGTTTACGTCGTTCTGTTTTCATTTAGCATGCAAAATGTTCCCGTCTGATAGCACAAGACTTACATTACCTTTGATGCTTGTTAAAAGAGAAACACACTAAAAATATCCCTTTAAACCCTATCAAGCTGCACTCACTGCTGAAGTAGCTCACAAACACTCTTCTTAAGCTTTGCTTATATTAAATACCTATTTATATAAATGCCATCCATCCTATGTACATTGATCCTAAGTTGTTTATGTCTGTGGCTTCTCCTATCAGCTCTTCTACCTTAAAATCAACATCCTCAAAATCTAATTTCTTATTCATTCCGTCAATAATCTTAACCGGCTCTGTCTTTCTCCTAGCCCATTCAAATAAAGGGTCAAATACAAAAGAGAGCAGATTGGCCTGTATTACATCCCTGTTATTTCTCAGTACTTCAAGCGTATACTTTAATGTATGCTTATATGTTCCTTCTAACTTCAACACCCCAAATCCATCTATTATATTCTGGGTCAATCTGAAAGGCACTTTCTCGGGTATTTCTAGACTTTTAGCCTTATCAAAAATACAGTTCAGATCAACATGAACCGTATCCCCCGTCATCCTGTCAAAATGTATATTTTCGCTATGTCTGTCTCCTAGTCCCATAAACCATCCTACAATATTCATTATGGCATACGTTCTGATATAACTTTCCCTACATCTGTAAAACTGGTACGGATCAGTATATGTCTCTTTGAGATATCTGTTATAGACTGGCTTAAACCTCTCCATTAGTGATGCCATGTTGTTGGTGCCTATCATTTTCGTTCTTAGGAATTTCTGCACTGTTTCATGAGTGATTTCATGGTAGGTATGAACTATCTCTTTCAAATTGTAAAGATTGGGAACAAACTCAATAATACCTGACTCGTGGTTAAAGGGAATAACATTATACTTTCTAATGTAATATTCATCGCTTATAAATAGCTTGTTTAGAAGATTGTCTAGATCCATAAATCTACTGTCTTTCCTTAGATCGTCTTTAAACTTGACTATCATTGGATACTCTCTTCCATCCTCCCCCACTAAAGTTATCTTTTTGGGCATTTGTAGGGATCTAAACACTACAATATCGTTCTTAATGTTGTTGATTTCAGTTAACTGCCCTGGAACGTTAATCTTGGCTGGAAACAGACTCCTGATATCCGGAAACTTTTCCATACATAGCTTTGTTCCATTATGCCTGGCTATACTCGCAAACTTCTCAGAACAGTTCTTTATATCCATGAACAGCTTCCTCCTTTCAAGGCTGAGATTCTCAATAATCTCCACCAATACTTTACTTACCTCAGTCTTCTTTGAGTTAAACAAAAATAGAGTGTTCCAGTGGGTCTGATAAGGATACTTTTCCAGCATGGTGGATACTATTTCCTTGTAGAATTTAACAGTATCGGTTTCCAAGGATAGCTTGGTGCTAATTTGGTTATAAAATGGAATGAGGTTAGACAAATATTCTTTCTTTATGGTCTCAATCATCTCTCCCACTATTTTCATATGAGTTCTGGGAATGTTGGCTATTAAGTGGAAGAACCTAGGAATGGCCTCGTGATTTGAAGTAAAGGACTTGAAATAGTACTTTATGGAGACAAGAGCATCATGTTTTTCAAAGTATTTAGCAGTAAGAAAGTATAATCTTTGGATATGTCCCAAGTATTCACTTAAATTTTGCATGTTAATACTAGCATTATTTCTGATATTTGTATTGTCTGCTTTCAGTTTGTCATATGCTAGATTAATGATTGATGCATTCCCACGTTTCTTTTTGTTAGCAGAATTATTGGGAGCAATACCATTAGCAATTGCAGTATTAATAAAAGTAATATTACCGTTGGTATTTCCATTAATTTTCGATATATCATTCACAGCATCAATCCCATTGCTATCATTATTGTCACAGCCATTGATTTTGTCATTTAGTATTCTTTCTAGGTCGGATATTCCTTCTTCAAACATCCCCTTACTCTGTCCTATTTCACACAGCTTAACCGTAGCTTTGAAATAATCAATAGAATCCTCGGGACACTGCAGTCTCATTCTTCTTAGCAGCTCCTTGGCTTCGTTTTGATGCTTCTGTTCTATTTTAATAAGAGAGTGATCATATAAAACAGAATATTCCTTTTTTAATACTATTCTGGCGATTTCTTCTTCTGCCTTTTGGAATTCTTTCTTTTTCATAAGATACTTTATCAATTCCAAATCCACTGATCTTGAAAATTCCTTGCAGTGTATTTTAGACTCTAAGTATTTATGCACTTTCAGCAATAAATCCGGATTTTTACTAATCTTTCTCCTTTTCTCAATCAATCTTACCGTATCCACTATAGTACTATTATTACCATTGCCATTAGCACTCATATTACCACTGTGTGAATCTTCATTACAAAGCTTAATGCCGCTAAAGCTACTATTAGTAAGGCTATCGCCAATCTTGCTCATGTTTATTAATAGTTCAAGATCCTTAAGTATGTGAATGACTATATCAGGATCCTTTCCTAGCAGTATATTCTCCACCTCTTCAGATTCATTGCACTCAAGGATCTCTCTTAGAATCTTAGAAATAAAGACATCCCTAGGAGATATTGAAAATGACCCAAAATTAGTTAGTAGCTTATCAAAGCTTCTAACACTATTGGGTGTACTATGGGTTATATTAGTATTAGCAGATAAATCTTCTAAACACTGCTGAGCTGCTTTATAATTTTTGCCCAAAATAAGATCAAAGAAAAGGTTCAATGTTGAATATTCACTATTCTGAACACCTGTAAATTGAGATGATGTGTACAGTGGTGCATTTGTATTAAACCCCTTCACTCTGACAGTATCATTGATCATGTAATATGCTATTTGGAGCAGCTCGATATCAGTCTCTTTATCTTCCAGGCAGTATATTAAACTGTAGTAATCTCTGGCCTTTAGAGCATAGTCTAAATAGGACTTTCTACTGACAACTGGCTTGCCAATAAATGTATTGATTTCCAAAAGGAATCTGAGAATATCAGGATTTGATGTATCAATGTCATTGAAGAGATCGCAGATATCGTTTTTATCAGCAATGTCATCATTAATGTCGCAAGTGCCGTGCAGTACTATTTTTATAAGACACAAGCATGAGAACTCTAAAGTACAGTCATCAAAGAGTACAAGGTATTTCATAAATTGGAACTTCTTGGTTTTGGAGTATAAAATAGAAAAGACGGACTCCAAAAAGGACCTGTAAGATGACAGATCCATCTCCTTCGCTGGCTTTAATGTAAATTTATATTCAAACTTGGTGTGTCTGAACTGCTGAATGAAGTTCTCAGTTTCTGGGTCAAAACCTCCTTTGATTGACTTTAGAAATTCCTGGATGGTAAAGGCGAAAAGGTCTTGTCTTTCATAGTTGATTTTCAAAAGAAATTTTTCAAGAATGCTCTTGGAAATATCAGAGACATCGGAAAAGCTAATGGCTGAATTTTGTTTGATTGTGTCATAATTAGTATAACTATATTTGATGTCACCAAACAAGGCCTTTGTGTGAATGGGCAGACTGGAAGGCTTAAGTGAATGAACCAAATTACGAAAAATTTTACTCTTTTCATAGAAAAACAAAAATTTTTCAATAAAAACGTGATCACTAATGAAAAGAGACTGACTAACTTGTTCCTTTGGTGTAGTATACTGAGGAGTGTGATCCTTTATGCTATTATATAAAGCTAATAAGCCGTTATTTAATCCAGTATTTATATTAATAGTTGTCAATTGGTCATGATTAGCATTGGAATTTTTGCAGTGCTTATTTTTATTTCCTTGTTCATTTATTTGGCTGTTATTAGCACCATCTTTTTGAGTAGTGTCAAATGGACAGACATTGTACCTAAAGGGCCTCTTTTCGTCTGAAAAGTATCTAGCTAGCATCTCATAGATCTTCACTTCTAAATTAGGAATGTACGGAATGTCCTCTATCTTCTCGAATGGATCAATAAGATATGGGCTCATAAGCTTAGAGTCTTGGAAGGTCCTTAACCACTCTAGGAAATACTCTGCACATACACAAACTCATTATTTAGAAAAAACTCCACATATGGCCAAACATAGCTAAAATACAAATTGAGATTGATCTGCTCCAACACAAACTTCATTATCTTATAGATACACGTTTTCTTATTGTATGTTCCTTGAGTATATGCACTCTTTACTTTAAACAAGATATGGCTAAGATTCTTCTTTACAAACAAGGAAATCGAAGGTTTAAAGAACTGGTTGAGATTGGAAAAGTAGTCCTGGAACATAAGCCCAACAAGAATATCAACATCATCCACCTGCTCTGTATAGGATTGGTTCATAATTCTTTGAACTACTACATACTTTATATTATTTTCTATGAAGCTATGGGTGAAATTTGGTGAGGGATATAAAATATTAAAAATATGATAGATGTTTCTAGAAACAAACGATTCAGCAGAAAGTGAAAACATATCAGCAATTAAAGACAGTCGACTGTGCAAGAACTCTCTGTCCATCAGAGTAGTATTGGAGATGTCATTGATGCTGCTATTGGCCTCTTTCAGAATGTAATATTCAAGTACCATGTCCATGACTAAATTAAACTCAGTGTTAAATCTTTGAATGATATTTTTATAGACTAATTTCACAAACATTGATGAATTCCTGTATGACTGTAAAAGTGTTATAAACCCCGCAAAGTACAACTTTTTGGTCTTCATAAAACAAGGAAGTGCTTTGATAGCACTGTAAGGATATGACTCTGAGGCTTTAAAAAAGGATATTGTGACCGATTCATTCTCGCCCTCCATCTCAAATAAGCTAAAGGCGCTTATACACAGCTCGATAAGCTTAAATTCGTTCTTGTTTTCATTCTTTTTCTTGAATAGCTTTATGCTTTCTGAAATGTATAGTTTCAAGAGTATTTTCAAATATTTAGAAAGTCTAAGAGAAGGAAAGTGTAAAAGAATGGTATAAACCACAGGGATATCATTTTCCAGAATGGCCTCTTCAAATACGCCATGGATGTCTCCATCTTGGATACGATGTCCTGGCATTGGATCACTAAGTTGAGAGGTATCGCCAAGATAGGAGGGTTTGGACGACGTCCCCCGACACTTTTTGAAGCAGTACTTACAGATTGATGAATGGTCCGCATTGGTTTGACAAAGACTTAGAAGAATCTTGTCCTTCTCTGAAATGTTATAGATCTGATTGGAATCAACAAGGAGAAGATCGTCAAAAGAATACTCGCGTGCATTAACTCTTCCATTGCAATCCAAAATGGCAACTAGCAAGGGTTCCTTTAGCTGCTTCCTCAAGTTTTCTATGGTAAATGTATTAGCACCTGGGTTTTCTTTTAAATTGATTGCCATCTTCTCATTTTCTACTAATCTGAATATCGTTTCTTTTAGTACATGAAAATACTTGTTGTCTGAATATTCTTTCTCAGCTACGTTGGAATCGTCAAGATCGTTTAGTTTAAAACGAATCTTAGGTTGAAAAGAACTTATATCCACACCACTGAATAATTCGAAAGTAGAATAATCGTCTAACATTTCTCTTATAAAGCAATAGTTCAGCAGAAACTCCTCTCCATTGTAGCTGAGGGCGCTTAGGTTGGGAATATTGCCATTGAAAAGACAAACTTTTCTTAGATTCAGACTTTTGAAAAGTTTGTACGTTGATTTTCTCATTGGATACTTCAAAATAAGTGACAGAACTGTTGTTTCTTCCATATTGTATGTGGTTCTTTTCAAGAGCATTAGAAACTCATCTAAGTCTTCTTTTCTGAGTATGAAGATAATCTCATTAAGAAATTTCACATCCTCTAACTTGTTCATAGATGCTTTAAATACCTCTATGGCAGTATTCGGATTCAATTGAGAAAGGAAAAGATTCTTCCAATAGTGCTTCTTCATTGGGATCAAAAAATCTTTTGATGAACAAAGCATAAAATTAAAATGCAAATGAAATTGGATTTATGTTTAAACAAATAATATATTTATTTTGCAATATCTGTTCAATTTCCAGCAACTTTCTGCTTGCTGAAATCTTGAATATCTCCATGAACTAAAAACACAGCTAGCTAATAAAACTGTAAAGAAGATGGCTGTAGCTGTTCGTTTTCACTATATGATTGCTGTCAAAATGTAGCTAATCAAAAATATTGATCTGATTTATCCTCTTGAATCGAAAGGGTCTACTTTGTTTTTAATATGGAACAAGAAGCAGTTCCGGTGCTTATAATTGCATTGCGTACACTCATGCTGTTGCTGACAGGAATTAGAGCATCGAGGGGCCCAAAGAGTTGGCAATTACAAGCATACTCCTTCACACAAATATTTCATTTAACATTATTTGCAGTGACTTTACAGTTTAATTAGCGTTCAAGAAAGTGATATTGCTCGACTAATAATACTAAACTAAGAAAAGACATTTGCACAGTTTATTATGTAAAAACACTACTTGGATGTCCAGTTTCAATCGGATTCTTCCATCAAGCACATCTCTCTTTCAAAAGAATCAGACTCGTCGACCTCACAGGCGTAATGGTGCTTCTCGCAGAAGTTAAACAGCATTGCTCTAAATTCTGCATCCCCTTTCTGGCGCTTATTGAGTATCTCAATGTACTTTTCGTGTATCTCAGGATCAAAGCTGTCCAGCAAAAGCAAGATAATTCTGTACTTCAGTCTCTCACCAACCTTCTCTTTCAGCAAAGTATTAATGACCTGAGTCTGCTGGCTTTGCTTTCTTGCAAGAAATGAAATGGCCTGTGCATAGTCTAAAGCAAGTGTCTTGTGCTTTTCATATATCCTTGGAATTGAAAAAAGATAAAATCCTATCAAAAAGGAACTTGTATTCTCTTCTTCTATCATGTTTTTCATAGTTTTAGCTAGAGGTATGCTTGTATCCAAGGTGAACACAATGTCTTTAACTTCGTTAAAAAACTTCTTGAAGTTCTCCTCATTCTCAAAAATCGATGGCTGTGATAGAACTAAAAGTAGAAACCTTGGAGATTTTTTCATTTTTGCAAATAGTGCATTTGTTTCATAGTCCGTTGAATTAAAAAACCATCTAAGAAAATCAAGAATGTTAATCTTGCAGAACTCTGGGTTTAGGATCATCGAAATACACTGCGAGAATTGAATTTTGCTGACGTTATCCAACGGACTATTCTTGACTTTCTCAATCATTTCAATAGAAAGTCTATTTGTCTCCTTTTTATATAGAATGTACCTCCCCAGCTGTTCTAATATTACGCACAGCTTGGAAATTAAATGCTTATCAATCAGTTGGTTGATCAAATTAAATATTTCCTGGGACGTGAACAATCCAAACTTATAGCATTCTGCGATGAGAATCAAGTCTTTGTCTGTGTTCTGGCATGAAAGTATTGAGCCACAGTAGCTTTTGCTGTTTTTAATAGCTTTCGACAATATCCTAGCTAGACTAGGAATAAATTCAACGTATTTCTTTTTATTTATAATCTTTGTAATGAGCTCCGGGTGACTGCAGATGTTTTGACCTATGTAATCAAGCATGTAAGGCTCCAGCTTTTTCTTCTCAATATTCTTTATCATGGACATGCTAAACGGCGGAAATACAAACTCACTGGGAACTTTTGAGTCTTCATAGAAACTAAATTCTCCCGGTACTGGCTTTACAATTTCTATATAGCTGTTGGGAATCTTTAGATCCTCATTGATCTTTAAAATGCCAGCGATTTCTTTCAAAATTTCAAAGTTATCTTCGTTTATCGTTTTTATTTCATCTTCAATATTAGGAACAAACACTGACTTGTCGATATCAAAGAATTTAAGGGAGTACAGGATAAAGGATAGCCGTTGGCCCTTCAAAGTCTTTAGCAGAGTTTGTGCAACTGTTTCTAGTGTTGTATTTGGCATTTTCTTTTGCTTTGTATTGAGAATAAAGATCTCCAGGAGAATGCAGCAGAAAGTCCAGTTGTTTGAGTGCCCTTTTTTCAGAGACGAGACGAGATAGCCCATGAGCGATGAGTCAAAGGAAAAGAGATAGACGACCTCCACGATTTTATGGATGTAGTCAAAGGTAGACTGCAGCACGGCAGGCGTACTCTTTGAAGGAGGAGAGGCGATTATTGGGTTTGAAAGTAGATTGTTTACAATCTCAGTGTGGAACTTATTAAAATTTTCATTTTCAAGTTCTTCAAGCAGGGAAATGAAATTTTCTGTGTGGAGACATTTTAATTTGTTGATGATGGACTGCTTTTTCTTTAGTTTTGAACTTTGGTTAGAATGGTTTTTGAGAATTCTCAAACTTCCTCTTTTTTCAAGCCACGTGTGGGTATCCATGGGGCAGACTATGCTGAAGTCAAACTATTTACATTTTGGCAAGAATAAGGGCAATGGTGATAGTTCACTTATTAATTATGCAGGCATGGTGTTCGATAGCTTAATAAAATCGCTTATGTTATTAAGGCATGCATTGATGCCTTTAAAATATATATTTAATGAATAAACAAGCTTTTTATTCAAGGTCATAAAGCTCCACTGAAGTTTGTTTCTTAGCACGGGCTATGGCTTTGGATCAAATTTTTAATAAAAATTGTTAAAAATTTTAGCTAAATGAATAAGCTTATCTATTTCATTTCTTCCATGTCATTTGCTTGTCGTGTAGGTTGGATTTATTTTTATTGGCATCGTCTGGGCTGTTGGGCCTCTTTCTTCATCAGGCTTGTACAGCATAGCTTCATCCTGCTTTGCCACATCTCCCTTTTTTTCACGTCCTGTTTCAACTGTTAAAATGCTAAACTGCAATATCAAAGAGGATAATGCTAGGAATAGTATGCTAACACATAAAATACCTCCAAAAAAAGCCTGAATACTTGCAAATACGCCTGTCATTATCGACATCATCAGTATCAAAAGAATAAAAATAGTCAAAATCATT